GCTAGGCTAATGGCTAACGGCTAAGAGACTGGAAACCCAAGAGACTGGCTTTTCCTTCCACTCTCCTTTACCACCAGTTAACGCATTAACTCGTTACAATCTACTGTCTGCTCCTTTGACACTAAACTGAACTAACTTACCAGGCTGCAACTCACTGAATCAGCGTGTTTTGCACTGTTTGTACGTCACGTATAAAACGTTAAGCAAACGAATGAAACTAAGTCTGGATATCAGTATGTTCAATTATGGATTGATATCAAGTATGTTCAGCATGTCCTTATTCCCTACATAATATGAAATATCTTTCTCTCTCTCTCTCTCTCTCTCTCTCTCTTTCTCACTCTCTCAGCAAAAGGAGGTGGTGCAGGAGCTGGAGTATCAGATTAGTCTGCTAAACAGTGAAAAACAGAGTCTGGCTGAACAGATAAAGAAATTACAGAGGTAAGCTGTGACCTGAACAGAAAGTGCGTTCAAAACATTTGCATTAATAGCAAAAGTTCACAGTTTCTTAAGAGTGTTTCATTTAAACCAATGCAGCTGTTGAACAGTTTATCCACTCATCAGTGCCTGATGAAGTCAGACAAATTGGGCTATATAGTCCTTTGAAAGTTCTTTTAGTTTTATGCTTTATGATTTTAATCTCTTATTTCTATAGATGAATTTTGATGTTGTGTGTGTGGTTTGCAGCGAGATCCAGGATCTCCAGAGGAACGTGTCGTCTCCTGTAAAAGCCCAGGTGGAGTGTGGGGACACTAAAACAGGGCTCCAGTGTGAAAAGAGTCTGGATAACGGGCAGTATCTGGACATACGGGGGGTCACTGAGGCCGACACTGCTACAGAACCCAACTCAAACACTACCACCAGCACCACCACCACTACTGCTACTGCAACTGACCATGCTGCTGAACACTCCTCGCCCTCCACCCAACAACACAGCAAGTTCAAAAGTCCCGGACAACACAGCAAAGGCCCCGTGCAGTTTGACCAGCCCAACAGGTGACACTCACTCTTCAGTACAGCGCTGATCTTGTACATCACAGGCTACAGCCTCAGTAGAGCATCTGCCTAAGACTTCATGTTGAGCGGCACTTTCTAAATGAGTGTTTTTCACAATATTTGCTTGTGAACGGTGCTGCATAATAGCCTCTGCTATAACAATGGGAAACACTCCAATTTTTTAATATGTAAAGCACATGACAAAGCAGTATGTGTGTAAAGCAGTATGTTTGTGTTTCGAAGCTGAACTACTGCTACTGAAACCATTTGAATGCATTTGTGCTGAAATGATAGCGTTTTTATTCAAATTTCTCATTTTCATTGTCATTTAGATTATTTGTATGTAACGTTTTGACATTTCAGTGTAGACCTGTTTTAATCTTTAGCCTTTTTTGCCCAAAATTTGCAGCCATTTTTTTCTCTTTCTGGCAGAAACCAAATGGCCACACCCTACCTTTTTCGATGAAAAACGTCAGTGGCCAAAATTTCAGTTCATCCTTGTTTTTGTAGTGCTGTAGTTTTACTATAACATATTCTATGAGATGAGCCTTGCCATTTTAATTTTCAAAAATTGTGCAGAATTCAATACTTACGGTGTAAATGAAGTAATTCAGAAAGGTTTTGATGTGAAATGCGCCGTTCCAAAAAAGCTTACTGAGTCAGAATTGTTTACAGTGGTGGTGGTGATAGGAACCAGACGTCTGAAGAGTTTAACGCCTCTAAAAGCTCCCTCACAGAACGTTATTACATAAAATGGTTACAGATATGCTGTCTGATGTCTGAGACCTTGGTTGATATGTTTGAAATGAGGTTTTTGGCCTAAAACATATTTTTTTAAATATAATCATGGTGAAGAGGTAAATGCAGGGAGTTGTAATGCAAAATAGTCCTTAAAGATAAGTTGTTTTTTTTTTTCCCTTCACCTAGATTTACCACTATTTTACTAATATCAACATTGCATATACAAATTGAGAGACATATAGGTTCACTGGGGGTTTGAATAGTAAATAAAATGGTCAAATTTGTATTATAGACATCACAGCTCCTGTAAAGGCATGTAAGTTTCCATACGATTAACCGTTTCACATCAAACCACTCCCATGGCATCTAATTTAGCTACAGTTCAATAGGCAGGAGCTGCAAAGTGTCTTAAGTTATGCATACCAGGTTATTACACTGAGCCTTCACAAGAAGGTTTTGTTTTAAGCAATGGAGCAAAGACCAAAAGCACTGGTCCATAGGTAATAAGCTTAAGTGCTTTTTGATAAAGCAGATTGTAGTTATATCTCATTAATGTTTAGAAAATAAATACAAACATTATTACAAATTGCACTATTGTTAATAGTGGTTTTGACATTTGGACACTTATTTAATCAAATATCCAAGTTCATGCATAAGTGTACTTCAGATAGGGTACCATGCTTTGCCCCGAGTTTTACCCTTAATCACCACTAGGTGTCAGCACTGTACTGAGCAAGCTGGACACATTTGTTGGCTTTGTTCAAATAAGTTGAGTGCTGACAGGAACAGAATATTCCATACATCATCAGTTTGCATATCCGCTCACTAATTATACACAGGAAGAAAATGCCCTTTCATCGTTGTAAACCACGTACACATCAGCACTTTTGCAGGTTTTGCTCTGTAGTGGCAAGCAGGCATATAAAACATAGCTGGAGTTTGTAACTAAAGCCTGAATAGGCCCGTAAATTCATGTCTTGTTTGTTCTTTTCAGAAAACTGTCTCCGGCATTCCACCAAGCACTTTTGTCCTTCTGTCGAATGTCTGCTGACAGCAGGCTTGGCTCTGAGGTGAGGGTACTCTGGTTACACACACAAAAAAAAAACACACAGAGCAAATCTCCTCAAAACACCACCTGACACGGCTGTTATTGGGCAATCATGCAGTCATAAGCACGTCACAAGCTGGCAGAGGAAATAGTGAGAAACGTAATTGAATCCTGATGTCATTTCTTGTAGAGTTAACTGGAATGCATTAATGTACTCAGATAACAGGATGTCTAGTGGACTGGCTTTTAGCTTCCACTGTGCATTCATTGTCAAGTGATCAAAAGGCAGCTTAAGTCTCAGACATATGATTATCGCATTGTTCCAGCAAGTTCCGGTGGAGGGTCCCACCTACTCACCAATGAAAGTATTTTGGAAAATATTTGGTGTTTGGATCTAGTAAAAGCTGTATTGTCCAAGTTGTCTAGAGGGCCTGAAAATTTGAACCAAATCTGAATGTAGACTGAGAACCTGAGAACATTTTCTGCCTTATGTCATCTCCACCCACAGCACCAGCTTTAGAATCCAAACCTGACTGTAGCCAGGCAAACAGTCTATGTGAACTCGACAGTAACCCAACAAAATTCTGTCTGAATCTGAGTGTAGCCCAACAGAATTCTTGTTGAATCAGACTGTAGTATGAGTGTGGACCAACAAAATTCTGTCTGAGTCCGACTGTAGCCAGACATAGTTCTCTGTGAACCTGACTGTAAATCCGGCTGTAGCCCAACAAAATTCTGTCTGAACCCAGCTGTAGTTGCCAAAATTCTGTCTGAATCCGACTGTAGCTGACAGAATTCAGTTTGAATTGGACTGTAGCTCAACAAAATTCTGTCTGACCTAGACTGTAACCCGACAAAGTTCTATCGGAACTCGACTGCAACCTGACGGAACACTGTCAGAACCCGACTGCAGCCGGACAAAACATTAATGCTTTTTTGTTTTTGTTTTCTTTCGTTGGCTGTATCATTTCTAATCCCAGTTTTCTGCATCAAGTGTGTGTATGTGACTTGAACCTTTTTTTTTTTTTGGTCAGGTGTCTCGTATTGCAGACAGTGAGGAGAGTGTGATGCTGATGCTGGGCCGTTGTCTCCCACACATTGTCCCCAACGTCCTGCTGGCCAAGCGCGAGGTAACTGTCCCACACTGAACCTTCCTAAACCCCTCCCCCCGCTCCATCAGACACACTGCCTGCGCTCTGTCGGCCTTCTGCTCTCTTCAGTTTGAATTCAGCACTGACTGGACTGTGTTTTTTCACCAATGCTCATCTCTTATCCCCTCCCCTCCACTTCTATGTCTTTTTTTCACATTCGCTCATTTATTCTGCGGCTTTGGTGCATGCCTCTCTCTGCTCCGTTAGAGAATGGTTGTGCATCTGTGCCAGGTGAGTGGAACATCTGCACGCTCATACACCAACACTACCCCCACTATATGTACGCGTGAGATTTTATTTGCCTCGACTTCTCACTGGCTGTGATTATTAAATTATTAAAGTTTTCTTTATCAGTTTGATTCCTCATCATTTACATAATAATAATAAAAATAATACATTAAATGTTTTATTTATCCCAAACTTAAGGTTTTACAACTTGTATGTTTATGTATGAGATCACCTTCACTTGATAATAATAACAATAATAATAATGTTTTATCGATATAAACCCAGGATTTAACAATGTTTGTTTACTTTCGATAAAATATGTTATTGACTACAGTAGTGTTTTAGATGAAGTATCTGTATTTTTTCTTATTATTTTTAGTTTCTGTATTTATTTATGGATTGAACAAAGATATGATTATAATAATAATTAAATCGGTGCTTATGCTCAGCTTAATCTATTTTCAGTCTGTTTCTCTTGTTTTTCAGTTGTTGCAAAGTCAGTGTTATTAGTGCATTAATTGGCACCTGTAGTCTCCTCAAGCATGCTCTAAATGTGATAGAGTAGATCTGTAGTTACTAGAGGCATGGTTTAAGTTTGAGTGTGATACAAAATGTGCACAAATGAACTTTTTTAGTTTGTAGTGAACTCCTGTCATGTGTTATTTTTTAACCCTTGCCATCAACAAAAGATGGAGCTCTTTGCCCTCTCTGGGGTCCTTGTCAATGTATCAGTCTTCCAGTTGTCACTTGGCCCGACCGATACATCATTTGGCCGATAAAGAACTGAAATTAGGGTCTTGTCTTATATTGGTTGCCACAAAAATCCTGCCGAAAGCACATATGTTTAGAAGCCTTATATTGTAATTCTAAAAGTTGATTCTAATGTAAGAACAGGGCATTATCTGTTTATGCCTGCTAGAGAACAAAAACATCACAAACAACAAAATGCATCCAAACCAAACATTTAGCACTACAACAATATGTTATAACACCAAAAACTTTTAAGAGAACTCCTGAAAAATAAAAGAAAAAGTAAGTTTAAGTTAGTTTAACAAGTTTAACTGTTTAAGTTAATAGATAATTAAAGGGCCTATATCGTGTGAAACCAAACTTCCCTCGCTCTCTTGAAACAAAGGAGTTTGAAGAAATATATAAACATTGGTAAAGTAACTCATTTATATACATCCATCTATTCAGCCTACAGTAGTTTAAAGAAGGGATAAAGGGATAAAGAACGGTCATGTAAAATGGTCATGTAAACTTCAGTTATATACATTAAAATCACACAAGTGTTATAAGTAGACCTCAAGGGAAACAATAAAACACAAAAAATGTAGGATATGGCATCTTTAACAACAGACAAGCTCTTGTCGGAACCACCAGCACCACACTATGTACATTATTGAAGGCTATGAGAAATTTGACAGTGTATTTAACAATTGTAACTAAAGAAGTTTTTCCACCAGGGCAGCACGGCACGGTTACTAATCTAAACTCAGAACTGTCCTTATCCTGCTTTTAGTACCCATCTGTTTCCCATCGCACGACAGAACCATGAAGATAGGCGGGGTTCTTTGGAGGTTGTGTGGTGGTCACATATTTTTTTTTTTTTTTACAACTCTTACAGTAAACACAATAGTAACAGTGGAGGAGCTTTAATTAAAGCTTTTGCTCTGCATTTGGTTTTATCTTAAGAGTCACAGTCAGCATCACTAATTAGCAAGTCTTTTATTTAGAAATGGCAGTCGTCTGATTCGAGTGACGATTGCGTTTGACCGATCAGCGATCTGCATTATTTCTAGCTTCACCTCATTTTCTGGTTCGCCATGCTTGATAATGTCAACAAAACATATGATCACGGTTTTATAACCGTACTGCACTGGTTTTATGATGGAATGACACTATAAAACTATTGGAGTCTTTGATTTTTGACCATATAAAATTATGTCGGACCGTCTGATCAGTTATCAGAATTTCTCTTTTCTCTTTCTCTTAGAAGTTCTTTGAAGGGCCCATACGCTACATTTTTCTTTTCTATTTTATTTTTTCATATGAGGTTCACTTAGAACATTTATATGGTTTCATGCTCCACAAATGGTCATAATTAATTTTTATATGACCATTTTCCGACCTCTCTTTATGCCTTAGAATTAAACAGGTTGTTTTTGTTACTGTGCCTTTAAGACTGATTATAAAACAAATGATCTGCTCTGATTGGCTGCCCAATATTGTGCCTTGTTCAAAGAGCAATCGAACACTGCTTATAACTTCAGTATGAATGAGGGGAGCTAAGCTGTAGGCTGAGTAGTTGGGTATATGTAAATGAGTCAAAACCTTGACAGTGAAATCATAACAGGTTGCAGCTTAGTTTCCATATATGGACAGTGTTTTGAATTTGAACAGTGTTTACGTAACTAATTTCAGTCGTCCCACCTCGTCTGAGTTATAATTATCTTTTTTCTTTCCTCTCTTACTTCTAAATGGTTATTAGATTTAGAACATTTAATTCTCAGGAATTCATGTATATCTACAAAACACCTCTATTTACAAAAACACACACGTCTCTCACACCTGCTGTGTGTGCCCTATAGGTGTGCAGTTGGCTGTGGTGGCCCCACCCTCAGCCCTGTCTGCTTTGCATAGCGGTGTTCTCTTTTACCAGCCCAGTGACAGTTTAAGACAAATTGGACGTTCTCCAAGAAAGAGCTGAGTAAAGACAAACAGTAATGGAGCCATTGGGGGATATTTCCTCATTCTTCATCCCTAACAATGGGCCCACTCAGTGGACTTTGAGCTTTGTCTGTTAATTTTGACTGTTGAGTTCCTATCTGTTCAACCTATCTGTTCAACCTCCTTTCCCCTAATATCCAGCCCTAGTGCCAACGGCCCCCAAACATCCACCCTCTCCCCCTCCCCCCCAGCGCCCCCAAATGACCCATGTGATCAGACACCAAAGATGGGTTTTAATGCAGTGTTATATATACATACACACACACACACACACACACACACACATATATATATGTATGTATGTGTATAGCTAGATATATATAGGTACACCTACTTTGTATCTACGTTTAGTGCCCAGTTCCACTTAACACATAGGTGCACTTTGTAGTTTTACAATTATAGACTGCAGTCAATCAGTTTCTTTGCAGATTTTGTTATATAAATAACAGTAAATAATAAATAACAATAAATATCATACATAAATAGGGTTATAAATAGTGGTGGAAAGCGTAGATTCAGTGACTGTGGTGCATTAGTGTGAGGAAAAACAGAAAAGCAGCTGCAGTGCATAAACCCCTAATTACGAGGACACATGACCATCTGAGAGTTCAGTCGTGTCTAAAACCTACAGGCAAATCAGTACATATTTATTCTGACTGATCACCTTTATCCTATACTGAAACATTTCTTTCCTGAAGAGAGTGGTGTCTTTCAGGATGACAGAGCCAGTGTCTATGAGGGGCACTGATTGGCTTGATGAGAATGAAAATTAAATAAATCATGTTATGGCCTTCACAGTCACCGGATCTCAACCCAGTTAAACACTTATGAGAGATTAAGGGCCGAAAGTACCATCAGCAAAACAACCACTGAGTGTCTTTAGGAAGAATAGTTTTTTATCCCAGTTCCAGGGACTTCAAGTTCCATACAGTTCCGTCGCTCTTACCAAAACAGGTTCTATATAATAGCAATAAAAAGATTCTTTGACTTGTAAGAGTAGTGGAATCCTTTTTGGGGCTACATAGAACAATTTGTACACACATCACAGGTTTTTATAATGGAGAACCACTACAAAGAACCATTTCAAATCACTGCTGTTGGAACAAAACCTCACATCTCTATTTTTGTTAGACTTCATTTGTAAATGCTTGTTGCAATTTAAGTTGTGTTTGAATTCCACAAAGAATGGACCAAAAGAAACAGCCGAAAAATGCTTGGAAAAAAGTCTGGTTCCATTGACTTACATTAAACGTAAATTATGTTTTTTCCTTCTCCTGTAAAGTTATCATTTTTGAGATACGATATTTTGTTCTGACAGCAGTGAAATACATGTGAAAGTACTTACATATTAAAGAGTTTTTCTAAGCTTAAGCCTAAACCTACCCCTAATCTCAGTAACTAAAAATTATTACTTGTTCAGTTAAAAAAAAAAGAAAGATGAGGCTTTATAAAAAGCACTTCACAAAGCCAGGAGTGTTTTTTTTTTTTGCTCCTGTAAGTTATCCCGCGTTTTTTTTTTTTCCTCGACTAAGTCACACACACGTACTCATTCAGTCACACCCTCTCACTCTTCTATATGGCACCCAGTGCAGAACAATAAGCTGTTAAGTGCTAGTTGCGCACCTGCTTCTACAGTTAAATACACTGGAAGTCTAAGGCCCCGGTTACTGAGAAGATAACGGACATTTGGCCAGTGTGAAAACGTCCGAGTTACTGATTACCATGAAAATGTAGGCCGAGGAAGCGAACGTCAAGTAGCTGAAGACTGATCAGTTTGCTGTTAATCACGCTGGAATTTCGAGTTTCTTTAGCTGTGGCTGCAGAAACAGATAATGAGGCACCACTGAATGGTGTGCATGTGTGTGGTGAGCTGTCACGATGCCATCAGCTGGTTCTTCTCTTTAGAGGCCTAACCGTTGAATTATTTCTGCAAGATTGAGTCAACACTGATATTGAAGCAATTATATGAATTTGCATGTAATTGCAGGTTTTTGTCAAGAAGGCTTCAGTCAGTCAACAAACTGAGCATAGAGGCTTTTATTTGTATTAGTCTGCATTAGGAATGGGGATTTGTAGACATGCATTTAGCTTTAGAATTGGATAAAGTGATAGTTGCCTCTTTTCTACAGATGTAGTTTAGCCACGACATATTTGGTGTCTAAAGTTTGTTTCTTGTATTCTGAGTCTCCCTCTGTGTCTTGACTGATTTAACCATGTTTTAGAGGAAAAAAAAATAGATTTTTGGTGGAATCGTTGCTTTAAAGGGCTCATCACGAAAACTGAGGAAAACTGCGTTTTTCTCACTTTTAATAAAATAATTTGATGTTGTATGTGATCATTTGTTAGAGTTTCAATATGTATTCTTCACTTTTCAGTCCTTAGATGGACTCAAAGCTAGGAGTGTTTCAGTCTGGACTTCTTTCTAAGTGTGGCACAAAACAGGACGACCAGTAAGACTTGAGATGTTTTACATATAGCAAGGCACAATAACAAAAACTGCCTGTTTATGAATAAATGGTCATAAACGGTCATTTTTGGCCCATATACCCACACAGATGTCATAAGAGGACCTCAGGGTGGAAAATACAATAAGATGTAGGGCATGGGCCCTTTTAAGTTATGTCTTGTCTGTGAAGGTTCTGCCTATTTGTATATTTCAGTGTTATTTCTCACTCTCTTTGCCTGCAAAATGCCAGCCATTGCTTCTGTTCCAGAAGCTGCGCGAGTAAAACCTCGCACACGCCTCAGCACGTGGATCTGAGCCAAATAAAATACAACTGCCTTTCTGCTCTCCTGGCTCGCGCAGGTGCTAGACGCAAAGGTTTTTTACTCAGTTCAAAAAGCTAAAAAAAAATAATAGCTTAGCTGGTCTCAGGTTTAGAAGGCATGTGTGAGGGCGGGGCTTGAAAACTCTTGGCAGGTGACTTTCTTTCAGAGTGAAGGCAATAAAGGCTGTCCAAACAAACAAACAAGGCGCCAATCTGCCCAGAGTTGCGCTGCAGATTTGCGTAACTATCTGCTGATTTCCACCTGTTTGTGTGCATTGAGGTTTGACCCACCTTTAAAGGTGTGTCTCAGGCCTGGAAGATAAATCTCAAGGAAACAAACTTAGAACTTTTCTCTTATTAGGGTTTTACAAAACGGGCAGCATCGATGTTAGAATGTCTTAAACGATTATAGTTCATTATAATAACATACAAAAAAGTATGTTCTTATTTTTATCCAAAATAAAGTTAAACAAAAAAAATTAAATTTGTGTATTCTTCAAGATCTCATGGAGACCGTACTTAATGTAGAACATAATTAATAAAACGCACAAATCTGCAATATTAAATAAGAGTCCATTTTTAGCATTTCTGCATAATTCAGTGGTTTACGTTTGAACAAATTCATTCAGAGTGCTTTGGAGTGAAATGCTCCATTCAACCAGGAGTCTACAATGCAGATATAGCCATTTTATTTATTGTCCAAAACTACTACTAAACATACCTCCTCTGAGTTTTGATATATAATGTCGATGATGGTGAAATAGCGGGAAATCTGAAAAATTATCTCAAGCAGGCACTGTATTCACAACATGTGAAAACTTTCTGTGAGAGAATTTTAGGTAAATTAAACTTTTTAGATGTCTGGTTCCTATCACCATCATTGTAAACAATTCTGAATTAGTAAGTTTCACATCAAATCACTCTGAATGACTTACATCTTAACCATTTCATTATGCAGGAATTTTGATAAAAGTAAAATTCCCCTTGAAGGTACCAGTGGATACAACAATACGTGCAATATCTCTTGTGCACAGCTTTTGCTGTTGTCTGTGTGACTCCAAAACAGACCTAAAGTGACACAACCAAACCACAGCTTGGCCATGAAACCCTTATCAAGGGCAGACTGCCAGCTGTGTAACATGAAACTGGATCTTTTATGTGCACTCCGTCAAATATTTGGGGTGCCTACGTTTTTTGAATACAACTGCACATCTTTTCTGTTTCACTTTTACAGTAACTTAACATTTAAAAGGCTAAGCCAGACTTATTTTGAATTATCACACATGTAAATATTTTAGAATTGTATTGGTGTATTTTTACCCTGGAAATAATGCCATGTGTTTTATCCCCATGTTATGATGTCATGAACATGCAAACCTTTCAGGTGTTCAAACCACCTTTTGGCCTGTCCATTCGGGGGTGTTTAAACGTTTGGCTATTGGGCCATATGCACCCTGCAGACCAATTTTAATTGGCCCATGCCTTCTGTCGTTACAGGTTCCCCCGCCAGCCAGTACATTGCATGTAAAGTTCAAGAGCATTTTTTACTAGACCTACAAATTACTGCAAAACACTGAATGACATTCAGTCCTGTCTTCAGCCAAAAAGTCCCAAAACGTTCACGGCCTTTTCAGAGATACAGAAATCAGATCCCTTTTTCATCAAGAGCCACAGCGACTCTGTGTGTCAGTAGACTGTAACAAATTCAAATGCCAAACGACACTGAAACATACCATGAACATTAAATACATCTTCAGGGGGTGAGAAGACAAGAGGAAATGTAGTAGCTTGAAGCTACTCTGGTCTGGCAGCAGCATCTGTTTGTTGGAGCCAGTTCAGCAGTTCAACAAACGTTATCTCTTTAAAGCTATTTAAACATGCCCATTTCTGCCGTTTAATCTGCTCCCTTTTAATGACATGATTTATATAGATTTCTATTTATTTTGTCTCAAATTATATTTTCGAACAAGAAAGCACAAATACTTCCTTTATTAGTCATGTTTTATTATTATTAAATGAATCAATAAGTGTTTTCCGATCCGAATTGCTCTGAATAAGCCCTCATGCTCAACAGTAAATGAAGTCTCCTGCATTTTTTAAACAGTTACGGAAAACACAATAGCACACAGAAAGCTCTGATTTTTATTTTGCTATGACCAACATGGCCGTGTATGTTCTGTAACTCCTCTGGTTCTGATTCAAATGAGTTTTACCCTTTAACAAACCATTGACCCGCAGTCAGGCCCAAAGTTTTACTACACGCTCCTATAACCTAAGAATAGGTCCATTAGTTTGCATTGAAGACCCTGTAGTTAGTAAATAATAAGCATTTGTATAAAATAAACCTGGAATGTTAAGGGGTTAAAGGGCTATAATCAAATTCTCAGAATGAATCACTGACGAGACACTCATTTCCATAATGTATACAACAGTTTTTTTTTTTCCATATTTTGTGTATTTAATATTTTGTATCATTTATGAATCATGTTTTGCCAAAGAGTGACTGGCCCTCAGTTATTTTGAAATGGTCCTACCCCTTAAAAAGGATTTAGGCTAAACCTGCTCTTCATATCAAAGAAGACACTATATACACTATATATACCCATTAGCACCGAGCTGCGTTATGCTAGCTAAACCTTTTCTTCCAGAAGGTGTCCCCAAACTTTTGACAAGCAGTTTAACTTGAGCAGTTAAATATAGAAGCCGTGAAAAAATCCAGTCAGAAAGCTGTGCTAATATTTGCAGGTGCTCTCAAGGGAATAGCAAAATTCTGTTTTCGCTCTACACACATACTTACCCAAACTTTCAGACTCGCATGTAGTTGTTGATAGATGGTGCTGTGCTTTCAGACCCGTATATTTTCTCCTCTGTGGTGAATTTGGGCCCTCTGTGTAGTTCACGTCCCTCCATCCTCGAACCCTGCCTGCCACAGTGACCCCTCACTTGCTCTGGTGTCCTCTGTGGGTGTGGGAGGGAGTGTCCACTCTTTGTTCTGATCTCATACCTGTGTCTATGTGTATGTATGTTGCAGGAGCTCATTCCGCTCATCCTGTGCACAGCCTGCCTCCACCCCGAGCCCAAAGAGAGAGACCAGCTGCTGCACATCCTCTTTAACCTCATCAAGAGACCTGACGATGAGCAGAGGTGCGCAAATACAGTTGTATGTTTAAACATCAAAGTACATGTTTTGCATCTTTTACAGGGAATGCAGTTAATTGTGACATTTTTCTGCAAATCTTAGTGCACAGTTTCTATTTATTTGTTTAACATACTGCATTTTATGTTTTATTTTTTTCAGAAAAAGGTAACTTGAACAAATATATAACAATTGTGCACTAAAATGTGCAGAATGGTATTCCCTGTAGAAGATATGTTAACTTATTTTCATTTACATAATCAAAACATGTAGTTTGACAAACATTTGCATATGACTGTTCATGTATTGTGATATAAAGGTATCATATACAAGAAATGTTTACAAGAGTCCCATTTCCTGCCTATCATCATCATAATATTACTGCATTACCCAAGACTAATTTAAGAAGGAGTTTTTCGCTCACAAGGCACCTTTGTAACCAAGTCATCTAATGAGTGACTCCTATAATCTTATTACTCATTTCTCGTAGCCCTGGAGTGTTTAGGGTGTGTTTACTCACAGTTCAAGAGCAATCGTGACAACCCAAGAGCTACAGAACAGCACGCTACAATTTCTTAATACCAGCTGGTATCCAGTAATGTTTTTAAAATAATCTTCATTTCTGTGGCAGTCTGCTAACACCCAGCTGTTTATCTTCCTCAGACAAATGATCCTCATGGGCTGTGTGGCTTTCGCTCGTCATGTGGGTCCAACACGGGTGGAGGTGGAACTCTTACCACAGTGCTGGGAACAGGTCAGCTTTTTCACTCTTGTATTCTGTAGTCTGTAAGTGTTTCCACAGTGACATAGTTGTTGTTTTAGCTCTATACTCCAACACATTAGATTTGCAATGAGACGATGATTGTGAAATTAAAGAGCCTATTTAGAGAAAAAGTTTGTTGCCTTCCCCATCCCCCCACCCACCGCCCCACCCCTTAAGGGGAAACTTGACTAAGACTTGTATTCCTTATAATAGTGTGCATGTCCAATACTGTTCAAATAAGATGTATAAACCAAATGGGAATGTTTTGTTTATTGTAAAAAGCTTGACCAGATTTGCTTTACTAGTCGGTCGCCATTGTCACGCTGTAATGTCATATATTTGCACTGCGTTGAAAGTAAAGCAATTTAGGTATTAAAATACACATTAGCTCGCTTTTTTGTCTGTTTTTTAATAAATAATGAGTAAAATAAGTATTTTGGTTGTTTTCTACAACATATTTTAACAGTAATAAATAGTATCAAGGTTCCCTTTAAGTAAGAGTTAGATGTACACTCCCATGATGTAAAAGTCTGTAAATGAGTCCATGGGACGGCATAACTAGGCAGCAAAAATATCTCGTTTTAAATTCATCATAATTATGAAGTCACAACCATGAGCACATTTACATATGATCTCTTTAAAGTGTCAGCGGTCCATACTGAGTGAACTGTGGAATTCAAATGCAGTTGACTGTTGCAAAATTATGATTTCTCTCAGCCAGTCACAATTCACATTAAACACTACTTGCTTCATCAAGCGAAGGGGGAAAAAAAATCACAACAAACCTGTAGTGAGAACGGTGGTGGCAGAAAATTAGTCTGAATTATTAGACTACGAAATGGTGGAAAAGTGTTATTGAAGAACATCTAATGCCTATCCTGATCATCTGGAGCATGGAGCTGTTTTTTATTTCAGTCCTGAAGCTGGAAAAGTTTTGGAATAAACTGTGGAAGACTAAACTCATTCCAAAATTTTGTATTTAAAGGGTGTTTGAAAAGAATAACAGCTATCTTTAGTGGAAAACACATTTTAAATTCTGTAATAAAGATCAATCATAATCATAATACAGCATTTAATATTTCTTGTAAGTGTAAAGCTCACTCTCAACAACATATAGAAGAGAGAAAATTATCTGCGTTTCGGTATTTGATAGAAGTCATTTTAATGTGATGTCTGATGATAAATAACATTGCAGAAGTTAACTTGCTCATATCATGAAACATCAAATATTAATGCATTCATAGCCATGCCGTTCTTTGTATTGTTTAATTAACACTATAAAAGACGAATCCTACTCAGAACTGACTAGGTCCATTAGCTCATCTGAAGGGGCAGCATCTGTCACAAAACCCTCCTTCTTTATTAGATTGGAAAACCTGCCGCCTTAACGTCTATAGACTAATCGGCCTATATTTATATTATTAGTTCTCAAGTATGCATGTCTGCAGTGAGCATCTTTTTAAGCCAGTTTGTTTTTAAACGTGTTTGAAATGTACACTTCTGTGCTTCTGAATGTTCCTTTGTGCTACTGAACCTTTTAGTCTGATAACTACAGATGCTACCAGGTAGCTAATAGTTAAAATAAACATCAGCAATAACTGATAGAGGTTGGACTTTTCAGCGTTTTGCAAATGGCCAATAGCATAATTGGCTGCTCAGTTTGTTAGTTTTTTTTTTTTAGTGAGCTGTGCAACACTGCATTATTGGATCATACACAAGGCCTACAGTTGACATCTGGAGTTTGTTGCTGTTGTTTCTCAATATGAGGACCAAAGAGTTGTTGGTGCCAGTGAAGCAGGCCATCGCGAGGCTGAAAAATCAGACCACAGAGGACCACAGTAGTGGATAAGTGAAGAATACTTTCAGTCATGAAGAAAAACTGTTATACACATCAAGAACACTATGCAGGATGTAGCCATAGATGTATAAAAGGTTATCCAAAAGCGAGGAACACAGTGGTAAACCTCAAGAACCTCTAAAACAGAAAGGGCAGGTTAGTTTGCTAAAAAACAGTTTTGAGGATGGTGAGACTGAGATGAACCTAGACCAGAGTCATGAAATGAGGAACATATGCAGGGAAAAAAAAAACAAAAAAAAACAAAGCAGGTCTTCTATGTAACATTTGCATTTCAAATCCAATGTGTCCTGTTTAATCCCATACAGACAGCACTACATCCTTCTATTGCCTAGTTTTACTGCTAGACTTGATCCTTTCCCTAAACCTCAGTCTAATCATCACCTGGTCCTGTCTTATGCATTTACCCATGATCTTAACCATAACCATGGCTAAAGACACAAAGAAATGTGTTGCTATTTTATATTTTACAAAAAAAGGCATATCTTTATGAAGTGTGTTCCCAAATCTAGACCAGAAAAACAGACCTCACAGGTTGATTTTTTTCCCTCCCTCACATGTGATTCTCATAAAAGCGGAAAACCAAGTACACACACATACAGACGTAGACAAAGTACACTCATTACAGATGTGTAACTTCCCATTTTACCATCAAAGCTCAACGATAACCAAACCAACGCCCTCCAGCTTGCTCCCATGAGTTTGTTCTTAGCCGTAAACGGTCATGTAGAATAATTTCATTGTGTTTATACACCTGTTTATCTTAGCGACACCACAATGGGGAGAAAAACGGTAATTTTAAGTACTGTCACTGGCTTTTGCAATGGAAGGAGCTGTTTCATAAAGCAAAAAGAAGGAGGCTGGTAAACACAATGGGGGGAAAGCAATCTTGTGGTCAGGACATGGACTGACTGTGCCATGTTGTGTCTTTGTGTTTGTGGGTTATATGTGTGTGTACGTCCAGATAAACCACAAGTACCCTGAGAGGAGGCTGCTGGTGGCGGAGTCATGTGGAGCGCTGGCCCCCTACCTGCCTGTAAGACTCACTCATTCATCCACAGTAGCGTCTAACTTGCAAAGTCACATCATGACACATTGTACACTGTGAAGAAATATGATGGAAAGTCTGAGCTGTAGTGTCTATTTGTAACCCAACAAAATGACAGTGTAGAGCACCAGGCTGAGCCAAAAGGGTTAAGGTTAAGCTGGCAGTATGCTTCAAACAACAAAATAGTGGAATTTGAAATAAAGGAAACCAAAGTACTGCCAGCACGCAGTAAATATACTGCACCATGTGAACACAAACCACCATGTCGTTTTGGTCAAATGGCATAGTTTTGCTTTGAAATTTCAACTGTGTTTGAAATATACAGCAGGCCTTAGGTTAAGGCTAGCTTCCCCTGCCATGTAAGCTAGTGTAAATATCTCTAAATATATTTAGAGATAAATAAATATATTTATTTATTTATCTCTAAATAAATATTTATTTATTTATTTATTTATTTATTTAAATTAGAGTTAATGTTACCATTAGGGGTTGGGGTTAGCAGTTTACAGAACTACATTAGCCAGTGTAAACAACTTCTTCAATATAAAAGAGTTAAGTTTTGGGTTAGCTATTTTGTAGTTATGTAAGCTATTATTAATCGCTCCTAAAAAATGAATAGTTTAAGGTTACGGTTAGGGTTAGCAACCTCCACAACCACATTAGCTGGCTACATCTTCTTTAATATAAAAGGGTTGTAAGACTAGGCTTGGCTAATACACACACAGCCACATAGCTAAAATGAATTGCTCCTTTAAAATAAAAAAAATGTAAAAAAATAATAAAAGGATTGTGGTTAGGGTTAGCCATCTTTTCAGCTGTTAGCTAGTTAGCCAGCTAAAGCACGCCAATTTATGCAAGTTGATGTAATTTGTGGTTATGTACAGAGTAAATTCTCTCAAACGGTTTAGCTTTGCTAACAGACTTTCACCTAACATGAATGTTAGTTAACACTTTAGCTAGCTAGCTACATTAGCTAGCTGGTTAACCTCTGCTCAAGCTGAGGCTTTGGTCTGTAGCCACACCATACTGTGGTATTGCATTGAATATAGCATGATATAACTTGTTAGCACTCCTTTAAAAGCATGTTGCCTGCTGCATTGCTCAGATTATAATATGCTTTGACTTGTTCGCATATAGCATAATTTTTCCAGTCCTTCTATACAACGTGCTTGTGTTTTGATGCTGGCAGAAGGAGATCCGCAGTTCTCTGGTGCTATCCATGCTGCAGCAGATGCTGGCGGAGGATAAGGCCGACATGGTGCGAGAGGCTGTGGTCAAAAGCCTGGGCATCATCATGGGATACATCGATGATCCAGACAAATACTCCCAGGTGTGTGCCTTCCATCCGGCTGTAATGAAAAAGTGAAATTTCTCAAAAGAATTAATAATATTAGGCTATCTCTGTACAAGAGAATAAAACTTTAACACTTTCATGTGCTCTGTGGTTTCTATTACCATCTTAGATCACTGTGATGTTTTTTCATTTATACGATGAAACTATACTTAAATTTTACTTATTAGTCTACTGGTACCGGCTGCCTTCTGTTATGTTTTGTTGCTGCGGCCTAGAAAAACAAGCAGTGTCAAATAACTTAAATAACTTAATTTCATTTGCGCTATCTTTCTTTATTTATTTTGAACAAAAAATTATCGACCACAAGCAAGCTGTTATGTCTAATTTGACAATTTTAGTTTTGATAGTTTCTGTTTTATCAGCTCTTTTTTATTTTATATAGATAAAAATATCTAAATGCGAACCTAGCTGTTCTGTGTCCTTATTTTTGGCTTTGTGATCTCCTGAAATGTGATTTAATGTCCAAAACTGTGAGGTTTATTAATGAATTGAATTATCTGTTATATAATCCACAGAAGATACTACTAGGTAGAGTAATTTATTCTAGTTTTGTTAGTCTCTTTCAAAAATGTACATTTATTTGTATAACTTTGCATAACCTTTGTCCCTGTGCCTTTATTTTTTAAAGCACTTGTCATTTCCCACTCGCAGCTTGTTTTTGAGACCTGTCTTTGATAGCCTAACACTAAACAGTAGCACACCGTCAGAATTAAATTTGCCTAATTAAAAACATGCATTTGTACAGAGCAGTTTGGTAGCTTTTGTTAGCTTAGTCTCCAAATGAAAATATGAAGCTGTGTAAAATTAGTTTTTCTTAGGCCAGAAACCACAGTGTTTTGTATGGTGGAGTGTTACCAAACCAGAAATATGGAGTCCTCTAAGCTAATTGGAAACATTAGAAAGTTGAGTCATAACTAATTGGTACAGAGCAAACTGGTGCTGTTGTGACAAAGCTTTGTATGTCTGAAATGATCATTTTGTACAAGAAGGAAAAAATATTCTTTGCTTTAAATTAGGAATCCACTGATTTTCCAAAGTTTCTAAATAATATAATTGCTGAGATATAAACAGTCATTCATTGTTTACATGAAATGGTTCACAGTAGAGAAACTTACTGACTTCTTTACTGTGGTGCTGATAGGAACCAGGGGTTGCAATGTCTACTACACAAAAATAGCAATTTTACTGTTTATGTTTACAATACTAACCAATACAAAAACCACCAGTGGCCCTACACGTCTCTTCTGAGCTTTTCTAACATTTCTGTAATGCTGATATTGGTAAAGTAATGCTAAATCTGAAAAAAAACAATTTTCTTTGGGCACTATTTTGCCTCATAACGTGAATGTATGATATGTTTTAGGCAAAACCTTCTCAAAACTACAGTAAAACAATGTCACAGACATGCATAACCATTTCATGTAATAACTTTCTACTAAGGAGCTTTTAGAGGCATTACACTCTTCAGACATCTGGTTCCTATCACCACCACTGTTAACCATTCTGACTCAGTAAGTTTCTCTAGAATGGAGCATTTCTCATCAAACCACTCTTAATGACTTTGTTGGGTCTTAACGATTTAATTGTGCAGAAATTTTGAAGCATTGGTGTAATTCCCATTTAATGTATGCTAATATAATGAGGTTTAATGCAGGGAATTTTCGACCATTTCTTTTGGCCCAGTCATCATGAGATATTCACACAATATAAAGGGTAGTTGTTGTTCTGGATCATGTGGAAAGTCCAATTAAGAAGCACTGCTCTGTTTAATGACTGTACTTCGTTTCAAACCTTTGCAGGGTTTTGAGCTGATGCTGCTCTCTTTGGGGGATCTGTCGGAAAGAGTTGTCACTGCGACACATCAAGTGTTTATTCCTGCCTTTGCTGCGTGGACTGTAGAGCTGGGGAACCTGCAGGCTCAGCTCATCCCCTCACTGCTCAGCCGCATAGAGAAACTACTGCAGGTATATGACTCACAACAAAAGCATGGAGTAATTGTACATGAACTATTTCTCTCTTGTAACACATTGAGGCAAGAAAATATTCAGGAAAAGTTCTGTTGAAAGTACAGATTTATTGTTGTGTTCAGTTTTGCTTTGCAGAATTAACTCCATTTTTGTTTTTTGTCAGGATCTTTCATTGAAATAGACATAAAAAGTCTACGTAACTCTCTCTGTCGTACATTATATAATAACTAGGGCTGTGAATAAAATGATCAGTTATAATTAAATGCATTATAATTACTAGGGCTGTCAAATGAAAGAATAACATAGTCCGTTATGATTAATTGCATCATTTTGTGTAATAAAGCACAAGTAATCACATTTGTCTTATTTGCTCGAATTCAGCCCAGTTCAAAGCATTGCTTTTAGTTGTAGCTATGTGAGTGGATACAACAAGCTTTATCAGAATGTATTTATTATGCTCCATAACTAAATAGCATTATTCTCATTGTGTGAATGCATAACCTTTCATGTACAACTGTATCATATACACTATATAGCCAAAGCTATGTGGACATCTGACCGTCTCACCTATATGGACCTTTTGGACGTCCTATTCCAAAACCATGATGAACGTTAGTACAGAATTGGCCTCCTCTTTGCAGTAATAACAGCCTCCACTCTTCTGGGAAGGCTTTCCGCAAGATTTTGGCATGCATTTGTGGGAATTTGTGGCCCTTCAGTCAAAAGAGCATTTGTGAGGTCAGGCACTGATTTTGTATGAAAAGGCCTGGCTCACAATCGCTGTTCCAGTTCATCCCAGAGCCCTTCAGTGTGGTTGAGTTGAGGGCTTTGTGCAGGCCACTGGAGTTCCTCCACACCCGACTTATCAAACCGTGTCTTTATTGAGTTCAGTTTGTGCCTTCCCCAAACTGTTGCCTCAAAGTTGGAAGCATATAATTCTCTATAATGTCTTTGTATGCTGTAGCATTAACAGTACCCTTTACTGGAACTAAGGGGCTGAGCCCAAACCCTGAAAAACAGCCCCAGACCATTATCCCTCCTCCACCAAACTTTACTTTTGGCACTATGATTTCCCTTAGGTAGCGTTCTCCTGGCATCCGCCAAACTTAGAGAGAACACCACTCGGTCACAATCCAGCTGATGCTTGTGCATAGCGGATAGTGATCTTAGTCTTGTGTGCAGCTGGTCAGCCATGGGAACTCATGTCATTGAGCGATTTTGATTTTTACAGGCTATACGCTTCAGCACTTGGTGGGCCCACTCAGTTTCACGACAGAGCTATTGTTGCTCCTAAATGCTTCCATTTCACAGTAATAGCACTTACAGTTGACCGGGGTAGATCTAGCTGGGAAAAAATGTAATTACCTGACTTGTGGCAAAGGTGGCATCCTGTGACAGTGCCACATTTAAAGTCACTGAGCTACTCAGTACGACCTATTCTACTGCTAGTGTTTGTCTATAGAGATTACATGACTATGTGCTTGATTTTATATACCTTTTAGCAGTGGGTGTAGCTGAAACATCTGATCCTAATAATTAGGAGATACTTAGTATACTTTTGTCCATATAGTCTTTATTATATACAGTCAGCAGACTTCTCCATGATTGTTGCCTCTTGCTCTCATGGATACTGGTTACAGTGAAGGTTCTTGAGGGGAACTGTAGCCTCACTTTGCTCATCCTTTTGTTAGTTTGCTACTGGTTGATTATTCATAGTTGTCCTGTGAGCACTGTCCAGAGTAGTCTGCTGAAGATGCTGAAGGTATCACTTTAAAAGCCGTTTAAAAGGTGTCTTTGAATGAGAGGGCTGCAGCCACGGATTCTGTAAGAGAAGCATGCAGCGCGCTGCAGCTTGGCTTTAGCCTGCACTGCTACAGATGGTTTGAAGGGTCAAACTGGGACAATTAACGTTCTAAAAAATTTGTCATTAATAATTTGTTACTTTAACTTTGACAGCCCTAAAAATTACATAATTACATTTGAGATAGTGTAGCAAAACAACATTTATAACACATTTCTTTGAGTTGGCTGCTGTGTATGACTGTGTGCTGTGATCTCTCTCTCTCTCTCTCTCTCTCTCTCTCTCTCTCTCTCTCTCTCTCTCTCTCTCTCTATAGCAGGGTGAGCATGGTTTAGATGAGCACAAGCTGCACACGTTCCTGTCAGCGCTGCAGTCTCTGATCCCTCCTCTGTTCGCCCTGGTGCTGCAGAACGCTCCTTTCACTAGCCGAGCGAAACTACAGAGCGACATCACGCCCATCGAGGGTGAGGAGCGGCCAGAGTCAACACGCACACACTTTCACTCTCGGTTGCCTCCGTGTTCTAAACTCGGCCGCATTTGGCTGCTTATTGCTGGCTTACAGTAACAGCAGGGCTCCGGCTTTGCTTTGTGGTTTCGGCTGTGCTATCAAAGTGCCCTTTCATTTACATGCTCCAGTCGTGTTGAGTGATTTGCGCGGTTGTGCTTTTTTCTTTTTTTTTCGTTCTTTTTTTGGTCTATTCCTGGCTCTTACAGAGGCTGTGTATGTGTGACCCCACAGTGACCCGGTTCCCGCGGCCTGCCTCCCCACTGCAGGACGTGGCCACCATCATAGGCAGCCGGGAGCAGCTGGCTATTCTGCTGCAGCTTTATGAACACCAGCTCCAACATGAGGGCACCACAGGCTGGGAGACCCTGCTGTGGGTGGTCAACCAGCTGTAAGTGACCATCTATACACCACCCCCACGCTCTTTTTCTCTTGTTCTCTAAACTTGTGCTGTTGTTTTTTGTTTTTTTTTTTCTTCCCCCCTTTCTGGTCACAATTTTACCTTTTACCCGTAGGGGTGTAACACAAGTGTGCACAACTCTGGTAGTTGGTTGCTCCCCTACTCAAACGCAGCCACTAAACCTGGCAGTTAAAAGATGAATTGAATCAGGTGTGTTTGAGCAGGGAAATCGCAGGGAAATTGCCAAATTGTGCTGGACCCAAGCCTTCCCGGACTGAGTTGTACATCTCAATCAGAAAATGGGGAAAAATCAATGTTGGAACAATTTATGAAAATGTGAAACTGTATTGCCGATCCCTCATTCACTTCCTGCATCTGAAGTGCATTTAGTAGGGCTTATTTTATCTAATTGAATCTTGACCGCAGAACAAAAAAAAATGGGCGTCCCTAGAAATATGTGTTTCATTACAAGCCTGCTTGCCTCAAATGTAACAGCTCAAGACATGTTTCCTGTCCAAATTTTGCTTCTGTATTTTTGGAGCTACAAAATAGTCCGGAGATATGAAATAGTCTGTTTTTACTACTTCTCCCAATAAAAAATATTTTAGATTTACTTCAGTCATTTTTTTTTTTCATTAAAAGTGAAAGGACATTCCAGAATAATCTGGCATTGTTAATCTACAAAAATATGTTTAACTTCAAAAATGGTTATATTTGATAAAAATTCACATAAATACACTGTTTCATATTATATTCCCAAACCATCAGAAATCTTAATTATACCATGAAATAAATTTTTGTCCATTCTGCCCACTTCTAATCTGTGGTAAGAGGGAAATTATCGAAATTAGACATCTTGCTCGTCACTTTAAGTAAAAGAAAGAATAAACTCTTTGGAAAAACTCCAAACTATAAAAAAAACTAATTTGGAGCTTGAAGTTCAAAGCTTTTTTCCTTCCACATTTTCATCTCATTCCCCATTTCCTTCTAGAGACTCGTGTTTAACTTGGTCCTGATTTGCCATCTCTGTATTGTTTGTTTAGCGAATGATGGGTTTGATTTGTGTGGTCCTGAGCCTGCTGTAGATCAGTCGCTCTCTCTCTCTCTCTCTCTCTCTCTCTCTCTCTCTCTCTCTCTCTCTCTCTCTCTCTCACTCTCACTCTCTCACACTCACTCACACTCTCTCCCTCCCTCTGCAGTCTCCCTCAGCTCATAGAAATTGTCGGCCGCATCAATGTCGCCTCCACCACCTGCGTGCATGAATTCTCCAGATTCTTCTGGAGGTTGTGTCGAACGTTCGGGAAAACGTTCACCAACACCAAGGTAGGTCGGGTCAGAAGGGGGTGACATATATTTAGCGCCTGGTGTGATTTATTGCTTGGTTTGGCGTCCCACACCAAGAGTTTATGTTTCTGGTTTGAGCTCGTTGGGTTTCAGCTGGACCTTCTCTGTCTCTCCTCTCTGAAGGTGAAGCCTCAATTCCAAGAAATCCTGCGGTTATCCGAGGAGAACGTGGGTAAGAGAGAGTTCAGTTAACCAAGAATAACACTCTTACTGTCAGTGGAAGAAAAAATACACACATTATATATTATATAACATTACACTGTCGTAACAAAACCTCATGTCTCTGATGTTTAAACTTTGTAGGGGAAGGAGAGCACATTCTTAACTGTAATGTATGTTAATGCAATGAGGTTTTATTTCAAGTACATTTGGTCCACGAATCATAAAATGTTCACACAATGTGCCAATGGTGTTTTTAAAATTTTCAAATGGCCCTAAAAAAAAAATAAAATAACACAAAAGAATTTGCAGTTATGAATAGAGCTCGCCAGATGCTTACTCTCATGGTCTCATAGCCCAAGCTTACTGTCGTATGCAAAAGTTTGGGCACCCCTGGTCAAAATGACTTGTTTTGTTGATTTTCTAAGTGAAAATAAGTTAGCACCCTCTACAGAGAACACACTTAAATATGACACTTCTAGCACACAATTTATATTTATAGAGTCATGTAAGGCGTTTTTATCTCCAAAGAGTCTGGTGTGCAGAGAGCCTGGGCAGTGGGTTGATACAAGTAAATGTTGGAGATGATTGGCATGTAAGATGATGCATTAAAGGTGAACGCTATTTTGGGAAAGAGAACTAGAAAACTAGTGAGAACTAATCCTATTTTAAACAGTTTATAATAAAATAATATGAAGTAATATATAGATGGCCTATTTTTTCTTTTGCTGGTAAGACAGTGGATTATTACAGGGCATTAATAAGCCATTAGACTACGGTACATTAAATTCTTCACTCTCTCTGCTGGGGGTTTCCCAGAGTGCAACTCACCGCCTGAGGAAAATCCTCAGCATTTTCTGCACAGCTTAGTGTCCCAACTTTTCAGACGAGTTGTAAGATTATGAAAATATATTTCATCATTTCACCCAGACACCTATAACTGAATACTATATATAGCTGAGCAACTCTATATATAATGATAGAAAACACTTTGTTTTTTTTAAATATGTAAAATATGTGGGCATGGATTTCCCTTCATAAAAGTGGTAGAAGTGTCAGTTTAAATAGCTCTCCTGCTTTTTGAAGATTTTAATGATCACATTTATTGGAAACTGGTGATGGCAAAAATATTATATTATGATATTCCAAGACATTTTCACGATACACAATGTGCATCACGATACTTCATTTTTCTGAGATTTAAGTAGGAACAGACAAAATCGAACCTGTGGTGCCACATATAAAAAAAAATACTATAATAATAATAAAACTACACCTATGATTCTTTTAATACAATGTTTTACAAACTGCACAGCACTAAATCTATTCAAACTAGCCCAAATATGCTCACTTTGTAATTCAGGATTATGATCATATTGTCATTGCACACCCCTAATGAAAATTATGAAATAATTTGTTGCAGCCCTATTAATGAGGTTTTGAGATATTCACTACAGGCCAAAAGTATAGAAGCAAGCAGCTATTTGTAAGGCAATTTACCAGCAACCAACTCAATACATTATGTTTACCAACATCTAGCCAAAGATGTTTTTCTGGAATATTGCATTGATTGCATTTGGATTGCATTAATTTACTCTAGTTTATTCTATGAGGAAAACCTTTCTCATGCTGTTCCACACTTTTATTGTAACACACCTGGTTGAGTTGATGACCAGGAGCTTCAAAGGGGAATCAGGTGGATCTGATTATAACTGCAGTGAAACTCTGCAGGAGAAACCCATTAACAGCCAGTTACTGCACACATTTCGGAGCGATCTTGTCTGTTCTATGTTGTTAAACATATTACTGTCCATAATCTCTTAAAGAAAAAGTTTTTTTTTTTTTTTAACAACATCAGTGTTGCTTCCAGACTTTTGATCTGTAGTGAACATTCCTCTGACTTTGTTTCTCAGTAACATACACAAACACTGTTACATTTGTATTTCTACATTTCACTGCAAGTGAGGTTTTTCTCTCACTCTTTGAGAATGTTGTGTTTTTTTCCTTTTTTAAAAAAAAAATAAAAATACTTGTGGTTGAATTCTCTGCCAAGGAGATCCTTTCCATTTTGACTGTCTGAATGCATTTTTCTGCTTAAACACTGTCAGTTGACACGTTTCATTTTTAAAGTTAGCTTTTTGTCCCATAAGGAATTCTTTCCCAGAATTGTCTTGTAAGATCATACTGTGGGTGATTTATAGCTGCAAAACCACATGCTGCTTGGAATTTTTATATTTTGTGTATATTTTCTTCTAGATGCCTCTGCCGGCAATGGCATTTTGACCAAGGCCACGGTGCCCATCTATGCAACTGGGGTGCTAACATGCTACAACCAGGTCAGAGCTCTACTTTAAGGCTGGTTTTACAAGGTAAAACTTCCATGATAGTTTAATAACTTGAAGGTGAATTTCACTTGCATTGCATAGTGGAAAGTCAGTTCACTTTATCCCATTAATATCCGAAATTCCTTTGGTGCATATGTTCTCTGTGCGCACATCTGAAAAATCATTCAAATTGATCAAACTACATGGCTGAAAAATGTATTTTTATCTCTTAAGATTAAACTTAATATAATAAATTATGTGGGACTACTGATTTTTAACAAAACAACAGAAAATTCAGATATGATTGTGGATAATATAGGCTTTTATACACTAAATTGTAAATGGCATATCACTACTTTGGCCCTTTGAACCATCCATAGTAGCTGTAGCGGGCTGCATGTTGCTATGGTAGTCTGTGATTGTAGCCCTCCCATTCAAATATAGCTTTTAAATGGCTTTTAAAGCAATACCTTCAGCACTTTCAACAGACTGTGCTCGACAGTGCTTGCGTGAGAACTATGGATAAATAAATGAGCAACAAACTAACAAAAACAATAGAAAAGTGGAGCTCCACTTCCCCTCACCACACTCACAAAGGATTTGTACCGTTGACTGTATATGTGACATATGATAAAAGCATACACAAACATTTGGGCACCCCTGGTCAGATAATTTCAAAATATAATGTTTAATTTGACCAGGGGTGCCCAAACGTTTGCATACAACCGTATATGTTCAGTATCTGTCAAGTTGCAATCTGGAACTCGTTGTATGAAAGTTTGACTGTGTAAAGCCAGCCTAAAGCCTTTCTGTGTCCACCTCCTTTTTTCTCTTTCACTCTTTTACTTTTTCTCTCGCTAACTGTTTATTTTACTTAACAGGAGGAAGACCGCAAATTATTGGTGGGCTTCCTGGAGGACGTTATGACCACTCTATCTCTTTCCCATGCTCCTCTCGACAGTCTAAAAGCTTCGTTTGTGGAGCTGGGGTATGACTCTGCTCGTTCAGCAAAACACACACCAGTCAAAACCAGGATGCTCCTGTGCATCAACATTAGCTTGCTTATCTAGAACTCAATGCTTTTTAGCCTTATCTCAGCTCAGAATAGTGTCTCCTGAATCTGTCTTCTTGGAATCCCAGCTATTGTCGCTTTTTTTTTCTCTTTCTCTTTTTCTCTTAAAAGTCAGTTCCATTTGTTTTTGCATTTTTGAGCTGATTCAGTGATGAGTAATAGACATCATTGTGCAATGCAGCAATCCCAGCGATGGATTGCACCATTTGGTTACAATATGTGCACTTTAGGAGCCAAATTCAAAATGTAATGCTTCTTGCAGGTTTACCAGACCAAGGTCTGGACTTAGATCAGTTTTCTTAAAAAACGTTTGAACCATTTCAACCTTGCATCATAAACGTTTTAATAAACTTTCCTTTTTCTGCTTAATTATCACTAGATTTATTATTAATGGAGTATTATGCTGAAATATGTATAAGATGGAGATCAGACTAAGAATTTTAGTGAAACAATGGAAAGACACAAAATTCCACTGTAATGGGCAATTAAGTTGAATCTCTATGGGGAATATATATGCTGATATTCTTACTGTTAATAATTTTGTTTTTGTCAGCAAATGACATTTTGCTGGTTTTCTAAATGGAAATAAGTTAACACATCCTATACAGAGAACATGTTTGCATATTTTAATATACAATAATTGTTTGTTTGCTGAATTTAGCATATTTGGGGGAAAAAGGTTATGGCACATTGTGTATTTTATGTTTTTCCAATATGGTAAACTCAGCAAATAAACATAATTTGTGACTAAAAGTGTCATATTTAGGTGTGTGCTCTGTAGACGATGTGTTAACTTATTTTCACTTAGGAAATCAACAAAATATGTATCTAAAACATTGACAAAAGGTGTTTTATGACTTTTACATATGAGTGTATAAAGCTTTATATCATACTGGTCAAGTGGACATTTGTTGTATGTCTGCATGCTGTGTTTAGAATAAACTTTTACTATGACCACTACTACTACTAGTACTGCTACTACTACTAATACTAATAATAATAACAATAATGATGATGATGTTGGTAATAAATAATAAAAGAAACAATACTTTGCAACCAGAACATTTTGAAGTGCTTCACATCCCTAAGTAAAATATAGAACAATTGATTCAAAAGCAGTGGTCAAAACTTATTTAAAGCACCAGTTTTGAAATGTCCCCAAACTAAGTAACAACAAACAAAAAGAGACAGAATGGCAATTGAATCAAAAGAAGTGGAAGGAAAATGGATTTAAAAACACCAGAAATGAAATGTTACTAAGCCAACAAAAAAAATTAAATAAAAAGGTCAACACTGAAAAAGCATAACAAAAAATCCACTGATGACCGCTGACTGTCTCTCTCTCTCTGTCTGTGGTCAGGGCTAACCCAGCGTACCACGAGCTGCTGCTGACCGTGTTGTGGTACGGAGTAGTCCACACATCGGCCCTTGTCCGCTGCACCGCTGCCCGCATGTTCGAGGTCAGTGTGCACTTCATCTGAGACAATACAACATGCATCATTGCATGCTTGTGAATTGGTAAAGGTAGATGCTAGATGCTCTTTGCATTTGTATCATTTTTGGATATAACCTATACTGAAAATGATTGATTTTAAAGGAATAGTTTGGTAAAAAATTCAAATTGGCACAATTTGACCCCAAAAAGAGTCGATACGCCAAGATTTTTTTGCCGTCTGAAATTTCCTTCTTTAGTTTTGCACTGGAGCTAATGTAGGTAACAAGTAATGGGAGTATATTCACTATGAGCTGGCATCATGGGTGATAATATTGTTTTTAGCTATATGTCCTAATTTAGTCATGTTTTTAGGTAACAGTATGTCATACCGTGGCAGAAAGCATCCATTTTTGTTAGGTACATTAGCCTCGTAGCTCTACTGCAAACGTTTCTTGGCTAAATGAGTAGATTTGGGGAAAATTGTATCACCTAATTATTCCTTTAATTGACTGATTTATGACATTGCACTGTTTTTAGTCTGTTTGAATGATTGCTTAGTTATGATGATGTTGATGTTGATGCTGATGCTGACAGAGCCCCTCCAAACCCCCTGTAGCGCCCCCTCCTGCATTGTCCTTCCTGTACACAGTGTAACTCTACCAAACAGTATATACAAAGCTGTCATAGCTTAAAGCATCCGTATGTCTTTGCACTGCTGCACGCTTGCTGTCGTCATTCAGAATGGATTAGCAGAAGCCCCTCATTCCATCCCCTCCCTACTTTACCCCTGGAAAAATCATTGTAATCAAAAAGTAAAGAGGAGTCCATTGGCTCTTTTTGCTCTCCCCTGTGGCCGTAGCTTAGTGACAGTTGCCTGGCCTCTTTAGTTCCTTTGATTTGGACCTTTTTTATTTTTCCATTAGTCTGTGGTCGGCTCCTCTCCGCCGCTTCTGTTGTCGTGTGACTGTTACGTTGTGTGTGTCGGCGCTGTGGTTATTTTGTTACCGTTGTTTTTCTTTTTGTCCTCTTTTTCTCTCTCTCTCTTTCCTCCCTTCTTTCTCTCTCTCTCTCATTCTCTCCATTTCATTCTCTCTCCTTACTCTCCCTCTCTATGTCTCTCTCCTTTCTCTCTCCTGTGGTGTTCTCCATGACTCTCTGCTCGCTCCTTCCATGCATCCCGTGTGACATCACCCCTGCTCTGACCAATCAGCTGTTGGTGAAGGGGGTGAATGAAACGCTAGTAGCTCAGAGAGTTGTTCCGGCACTTATCACTCTCTCCAGTGATCCTGAAATGTAAGTCTCCTCCTGCCTCCTTCACTCACACACGTCCTTCTTGCCTTGGTTTTTGCCCAGAAAGCCCTACATTAGACCCAAGAGAGCCGTAATGTCACAAACAGTAATGCATCAGTCAGATGTAAAATCGCCCAGTGGTCCTAAAGTATCGGTGCTCTGCAAATTCAAATGTTTTCCCTGCTGTAACACACGCTCTTCAGCTTATAAAGGGCTTCTTAATTGACCTATCCATGCTCTGACCACAAATTCATTGCACAAGCTTTACAGACTGCTGGCAAAAATCCCATTCAGTGTAATGAGAAACTGTACCATACAACTCATTTTTATTGCATTATTAATCTCACCTTATGTTTGTTTGAGGTCAGTCAGCATTACACCTGAGAAAATACAAAAACATAGCAAGCTTAACTCATTTTTACTGATGGCTGTGCTGAAAACCATTGATATTAAACAAAACAAATTTAGGCAATTTTCCTGTTCCCTGAAGTGTAATTGATCAACCAGTGATGATTAGGATAGATTTGTTGTATACAGACCTACCACTGTCATGAAATTTTAGCTGACCTTTTAATCACTTTTTGATACCTTTAGTAACCTTAAATTAATGATTTAATTGACTTTTTGGGGTTTGTTTTGTTCATCATTTTCTAAAATATTTTATTTACACTTTAAAGCCTCAGACCAACTGATGAAAACAATCACAATTCACATTCCGTTTGTTGTGACATAAACGATTTCACGATTGTGAAAGATAACAGCTGTGGAAACTTATCAGCTTAAATAATTGCAACTAGGCACAGTAATTGCTATCAGGTGATATGTAATAATTGATAAGCCTAGGTATACGTGTTCAAGGTGCCTAGTTTCGCTTTGCTCCGGCAACATGGTCCAGCTCATTAGTGTAGCATTTTAAACTAGAAGCTCAAAGTTATGTAGCAGTTTAGTTAGAACAGTGTAGGTGTTTTTTGTGCAATAAAACTTCAATTAGGTTGAATAAGATTTTATCCAGTGTTCTGTTGCGCAACAGGCGCTATGAAAAATTGCATTTGTGGGCTGAGCATGGAAAGATTTTGCCCCACCCAAATGTAAATGCTTTCAATAAATGTAGTGGGAGGACCACCATATATGTCCATATATATGGGCTTTCCTGGTAAGACCAAAGTGTGAAGGACCCCGCTTTGTTGTTTTGAATGTGACACACATGCCTGTTACTAACGTCCTTCAGCAAAGCACGATCGCCACTAACCACCAACAGGCTTGAAGCAGCTGCATGTTCTAGACATCCGTCCATCCATCCACCCCCCCATTCATGTGGCTCCTGGTGTGTTTGGCTGCCACACTTATCCCCCGGGGCCCCAGTCCAGATTTCCCCTTCTTTTTCTACCCCTGCCCTGCTAGGTCCTGGGCCATGTGTTTGTCTGTTTGACCCACCCGTCTCTTTTTTGCATCTGACTGGTTTGCAGCTGATCCTTCGAGGCATGAGCGAAGCCTTAATTGACAAGCGGGTAGCCCCGGCCCTTATTACCTTGTGCAGTGGTCCCGAATTGTGAGTTAAACCCAGCCATGAGACATTTTAACACCAATTATCCTGTCTCCGCATTCTCTTGGTTGGATCTCTCTCTTTTTTAAATCAGTTTTTTTTTTCTTGGGTATTTTTCTTTTGTTTGTTTGTTTTGGATGTTTTGTTTTGTAATAGTGTTGTGGTTTTCATACTGCCATTGGCATGCTCGTCTAACATTAACCATCCTTGCTTACCACATATTCCAGTCTAGTGATCGGTGGTTGTGTTTGGTTAGTGGATTGTTGGGGTAATGCTGAATGGCTTCTTTTGAATGTATGCTGACTCACTTTTTGTTTTCAGCTCAGTGAGGATATCCACTATTCCTGCTTTTGGGACCATTATGGAGACTGTAACACAAAGAGAGGCAAGTTGCACCTTTCTTCTGTGCACAAGTGCATTCGTATCATATGTATATTTGGATCTGTGAAGTAGTAGAACATTCAAATTCAGATTTTTTACACAAATACAGAAAAATCACAAAAAAACTACAATTTAAATAAATATAAAATGATCACCTACACTATTACTGTTTACTGTTCAGAATTTAATCTGAAATAATAATTTAAAAGTCAGGTCGGGAGTTTTTCAGTCTGCATCATACATTTTTATGCATTATCATCACACACTCAGCCTCAAAATGAAGGTCCGGCTTTGTGTTTAGGTTTCAAATGCAGAATCTGCATTGTACTGATGAAGACATGATGATAACAATAGATAATTCACTTACATTCATGGATAGCACATCCTTCACCAAGTTTTGACAGAGTTCTCTTTGAATATGCTCGCAATCATCTGATTCATCCACTCAGAGAAGGGTTCTGAAACACAACCCACAATACAAAATGTTTTTCCTTCTCCATGCGTACAAGTACACATTTCCACCAGAGAGGTCTCCAAATCCCCAAATATTACATAGTGTAGCTTGAAAAGATGCTGATCATACACAGTTTTATTCAAATTTGAAATGCAGTGACAGTCATTGGATTTTATACCATAATATACAATTAACATCTGTAAATATTCCATCCTTAAACAGCAGTATATTTCTGATGTTCTATGTATGAATAAAACAAATCAGATCACAAATTAAAATGAGTTGTAGACCTATTTTGAATCATTGAACAAATCATAGTTGAGTGCTTACCAATCCAAATTTCAGCTTTCTCTGTTTTTTTGGACCCTGTGCTGGGTCTGTTGGGTTCATGTTATTAACAATCTATATTCATATATGTTTCAGTTGCTGGAGAGAGTAAAAATGCAGCTGGCCTCTTTTCTGGAAGACCCCCAGTATCAGGACCAGCATTCATTGCACATGGAGATTATAAAGACATTTGGACGAGTCGGGCCCAACGCTGAGCCCAGGTTTAGAGATGAGTGTATGTATAAGCACTTTACACACTCAGCACTTCTTCTTTCATTATTACTACGTCACTACTCATTATAGTGAAATGGAGCTGAGCTTATAGTCCCTAACAGTACACAAAGAGACCTTTTTAAGGTCTTTTCAAGTCAAAATAGCCATTAAGTACAAGTAATTCATTTTTCAGGGGATATTTTTAAGGAGATTAGATATAAGATAATGCACTTGCATAAGGATGGAGAAAGTCAAAGAAAAATAAGTGAAAAAATAGGAGTTTCCTGAATGCATACAAGATACAAAGAAATAGGACTCCTACACTGTTAGAAATAAAGGTGCTGTGCAGGTACGTTTTTCATTCGAGGTACAAACAATGTTAAATGTGGGGTACTGCCCCAGTGACAGTTTCGTACCTTTATTTCTGAGAGTGTAACACCAATGCAAGACCTGGTAGATCACCAAAACTGTCCTCATCAGATAAGCAGCACTCAAAGCTTTCATCTTTGAGAGAGGGGAGAAAATCAAGCTCCACTTTTGCTTCAGATCTGAAAACATCCACAGCCATCCTTCCACTGTGAGAAGATAACTCAACACTATGGGTCTGAAAGGATGTGTAGCTGTTAAGAAGCCCTCAATGAGAAAAGAAAAAAAGACAAATAAGTAGAAATCAAACAGAGAAGCTGCTGGTGTTCTCAGAACAATGAGCTGACCACCCCAGTGCCCAGACCTCAACATCACTGAATGTGTTTTTGATTGTGACAAGCAGAAAATGCAGCCAACTTCTAACCTCAACTTTGGAGGTGTGGAAAAATATCCCTACAGGTTTCTTTGGAAAACTGAAAGCAAAAATATGTTAAAATATGTTTTCTGCTCTTTTCCTGATGCTGAAATGAATATATTGTACTTAAAGGCCATTTTGACTGAATATTAAATAATAAAGGGGTGGTCTTTTGCCCAGTACTGTATTTCTTAAGTCAATGTAGTTGTTTTCAGTTGTGAACAAAGTACGAACACGTACTTTGTTACTGTCCACCGCTGGTTGTGGTACGGAATGTGTACACCTGCAATCAATGTGTGTCTTTCTGTCCGCAGTCGTCCTCCCTCATTTGCACAAGCTGGCTTTGGGCAACAACATGCAGACAGCGGAGAACAAGCGGATGGACATAGCCAGCCAGCTGTTTGAGGCCTACAGTGCTCTGTCCTGCTGCTGTATCCTTCCCAGTCAACAGAGAGGGGCCTAAATGTTGTTTTACAATTCAATATGAAGGAAAATAAGAGCAAAAAAACAGTCATTTCATAGCTGCTAGTGTACCAACGAATAATATTGGCATTAGCTGCCTAGCTAGCTAGGTAACTAGGTAGTCATGTAATAGTGCTTGGTGACTTAATACTCACCTGGAAAAGTAAAGGATGTGCTAAAAAAGTGTTAGCAGGTTCAGGTGTGAAAATAGTAGAGTGTGTCCTTTGAGCATAGATCTGGGTGCCAAATCTTTCAGCCAGTGTTCAGTTGAGGGGTGAGAGGACCCTTTTTTACTGAATAAGAATAAGACATCGAGCTAACAGGGTGCAGAATGTAAGAATATTGGATTGGAGGCAGAGACTATAAAGGAGATTACATTACTCAGCACTGTCCTCTAAAGGTATTATATTGTACTTGTTATACTGAACTTAAAAGTTCCTGTTTTGACTACAACTTGTCTCAATTAGTGAGTTTTCAGCTTTCTTTCAACATTTCAGCCTCACATTGAGGGTAACACAGAATCTCTTCTTTTCAACACCATGATACACTTTCAATTTGGCATCAAAGGTAAATCACTCTATTTTAAATCCAAGCCATTTTCGTATCAGCCTCTTAGGCTTCTTGAATCACTTTAAGTTGCATTTGTTGAAACATCTGTGCAACCCTAAGCAAAAGCAGATTAAAGGTCTAAATCTTTATTTTATAAGCTCAAAAGAACAGCATGTTTCCGGGACCACTTGGTAACCGCCAGCACTTGGAGTGGAGCATCTTCAGGGTGCTGGAGTGTTTTTTTTTTTTCCCCTTCTTTCCACTGGTTTCCCTAAAGTTCTTACAGATGTCCTCCTCTTTATGACACAGTGTGAGTGTGGCACATGGCTGTGCAGGTCCACGTGCTTCCATGTGAGACGTTAACCACATAGTGTCACACAAAGCAAATCATCGCTGTCAGATCAAACCCTTGTAACAAAACCCCTTTTTTCTTGCATCATGTGAAAATGCCAGCTGCCTTTTACAAAGTGTGAACATTTCATGACGAATGGATCAGGAAAAATGGCCCAAAAGGACTCGAAATAAAATTATTTTATTTTAAAGGGCCCATATCATGGACAGCGGAATGTTTTTTTTATAAATGTGTGATGTAGCTTGTAAACATTTGAAACGTTTAAAAACATTTGAAAACATACAGTTCACTTTTTAGTCCATAAAGAAAAAAAAAAGCTGCAAAAACTCAATTTTTAAAAAAAAATCAATTTTTAATTTGTTGTTTTTGTGACTAAACAAATTGGTGCATTTACATACATATATAGTTTAGCCTCACCCGTTTACATGGAAGTTCTAAATAGGCACGTAAAAATGATTTTTTTGTAGGTACATAAAGCTACACAAACATATTTTTTATGGGACTTTAAGGGGAAAAATATAAAAAATAAATACAGTACAAAAGAGAAAATTAAACACAAACAAATGTGTGATATTGGGCCTTTAATGCACTTTAAAATTTGTGTTTTTCATTGTCCTAAAAAAAAGTTACCATTTTGAACTTACAAGGTTCTGTTCAGACAGCGACAAAGCCTATTCTTGAGCCTTGTTCAACTATTTTAACTGGACTGGAGGCTTCATGGCTAACAACTCTCTCTCTCTCTCCCTCATTATCTTTCGTTTTCCCTCTCTTTCCTCTTTGTAACACTGTGTCGTTTTGAAAATGTTTACGTATCCCGCTGGCGGGGAACGAAAGAAAATAAACCTCAGCCATTTCTGGATGATAAATTGCAGGGTGGATGGTGGAAGGCTCCGCTGACCGCGCTCTGATGTTGAGCTGGGCAGAGAAGCCTAAGGAACGGCCCCCTGGTTTAGATTCCCAGCACACATGCCTTTTTGCCTCTGTGTGGGTGTCTTTTTTTTCCCTTTTTTTTCCCTTTTTCTTTTTTCTTTCTTGTGTCTCTCCTTCGTTTTTTTTTTTCTCTCACTCACTCTCCTTTTCTCAGTATTTATGCCTCAGTCTGTCAGTCTGCCTAACTATCTGTCTATCTCTCTGTTTGCTTGTGTACTTTCTTTCTCCCCTGTTCTTTCTCTCGTGTTTGCACTCATCCTCTCTCTCGTTCTCTCTGACTCTAACGGCGGTGGGGGACATAAGGGCGGATAAGATGCACAGATTTAGTGTAGTGGTGGTGCGGTGGATCCTCCCATACTCTGCAGTAGAGGTGGGCAGTATTACAGTAGTTTATCATTATCGTGATAAATGTTATTATCATGACACACAAAATAATGACACAAAAGAGGGCATAAGTAGTCTTGCTTAATTGAATTTAGTGCAGTAAAGTAATATGTTTAATGATAATCATTGAGCCTAGATTTCTCGGTGTCATTCTTTAAATGTAGCACAACTAGTGCGTTGTGTCTTTTTGTCAAAATATCGTGATGTGTATTGTGATAATGATGATATTTTTGCCAAATTGCCTACCCCTAGGCTGTTTTGAGACCCTCTGCCCAGGGGCTTCTCCTTGTCAGGAGATTGCTAGGAGTTCAAATGTTAGCGATGCCACTGTCTTTCCCTGGCCAGTAGTTTAATTGGCTCAGCTCTCTGGGTATGGATCGTTCTGTTTCTATACTAGCCAATCACAAGTGTCTGTTAGCTCACAGATGGGTTTGATCTATCCATGCTCCACCCACAAATGCGTTCTTTCATAACAGCTGAGGTTGATAAAGCTTCACAGGATGCTGGCAAAGGTCTTATTCATCCTAAAATTAAATGTTATCTTCATCATTTTTTTTTGTCAAAATAGCCACATTGTTTGTGGATGTGATGATACAAATATGTTCAGGATTATCGTGATATTTGATTCTGAGGTGAAAATTCGATTCGTTATTTAATGTTTTGAGTTGATTTTCTTGATTTTTTAAAATCCCTACCCATACAGTTTAACTGACTTCAGAAAAAAAAGCCCATTCGTTTGAGTGGGGGTGTCTATAGCACAAGCCCCGCCTTCATTACACTGATTGGATTCCATGAAAGGTGTCTGTGAGGGCCATAAATAGTATAGCATGGTGGCTATAATGGCATGATGAGCTAACAAACCTAGGCAGGAAATTGACAAAATTTGCCACCTTTAATTGAAACCACTGTCAGTGATCAAAACTAGGCGTCTGAGTTATCTGGGCTCTGATTTGCTCTAACACATAGTCCTATATTGATAGGTCAGTTGGGCAGTTGGCCACATTATAAACAATGAAAGAAAGCAGAAAACTTATTTGTTGACATACTCCATGGTCTTTACGAAAACACTGAAAGCAGTAACCTCTAACGCGTTTAGAGGACCGTAAGGGTGCATCGTGATATCGTAATGCAAAACTGTGACACTATGCATTGTGAAGATTCTATTATCTAATTCAGTTGCATTGTTTGACCACCAAAGTTTGCAAAGAATTTGCATCAACAAATCATTCCAGTAACCAAAGAGTAACAAGTCTAAAAAATCTAAACAAATGAGAAAAAAAAAAAAAACCTGCTACCAACTAAGGGGAGCTGCCCCCCATAAGGATCACCTTAATCTTTGACCCTTTTTTTGGTTTGATTTGAGTTCTCTTAAACTCCAATTTGTTTCCTTAACTCTAATGCCTCAGTTATTTCTGAAGAAATTATGGTAAATCATTTTCTTCCTGGTCTGAGGTGCCTGCGAACAGACATGGAGCATCTTTCTCCAGAACATGAGGTAGGAACTGGATGAACTACTGCATTCACTGGAGGCCCTGCCTTGAGTTTGGTTAAAAAAAAAAAGCGAGAAGTTTAAGTAAATAATTTTCTTATTGTTCAGTTCCCTATTCCTAAGTGCTCAGCAGCTCTTGATTCTTAAATTAATGACTCGGTCTTGTATAATTTCAATGTGATGTATAATTATTAATAACCTCAACCCCTCATAAATTTCATCATTTATCAGGCAAGTAAATTTTAAAAGAACTGATTGAACAAGTATCATCTACAAAACAGATTAAATGCTTAGTGGATGCTGAGGATTTGTCATCTTATAGCAAGTCAGAAAATGCTAACTTAACTGACCTTAACATTGTTTTGTAGGTTGTTTATGTTTAGACTGGATATTAGCAAATACAGTAACTTTAACACTTTAGCTTTCTTTAGAGCTGCTTGTTGATAGTTTTGTCATTGAGCTGTGAGTGTGGTCTTCCACGTTTTAAAACTCGGCTTCAATTCAGAACAGTTTCACTTTCAGGAAAGACTCTTAGGCTAATAATTATGAGTAATTTTCTAGTTTTTCATTCACTTATTGGCAGAAGTAGTGCTTTGAGATGGTTAGTTGAGGGTTGTGTCAGTCATTATTTTATAAACATTCAATTATGGTCCACAAGATGAACTTGGATTCTAAATTTATCCAGCAGGGCAGATAAAAGACCAGTTCCTGCCCGTGGGCCATATGTTTGATGTGCATTTTAAACATTTAAACTCTAGGCTTACTATTCAGTTACTAAGCTAAAGGATTGTTGTTCAGGACCTATTATAAATTGCTATAAATGACAAATAACTCCCTGACTAAAACCCTAACGAGCAGGTTCTTTAATTATTAGAGTGAGGAACTGAACTGTGGGCCACTTGAAATGAACCTCTTCATGTGACCTCAATCACATTTTTGATGATCCTAAAATATTGTGTCTTCCCGTCTTCGCTGCCAGCGTTTTGCAGCGTGCCGCCTGGTTTCTATTTTTTTAATTCGCTTTTGTCCACTAATGCCCAGCTGACGTCCAGAGCACATGGTGTCAGAGTTCCCGGCAGTGCTCTAATTTTACTCTCCTGCTCTGATCTTGTCTCCCTGGCAGGTTATTCTCAGCTCCATGATTAAGGAGTGTGAACTGAAGGTGGAAAACCGGGGCATTGGAGAGGCACAAGGGTGAGAGATCACTGTGAAGTGTGAATGTGTGCTTACTAGGGCCCATCTGATATGAAAATTAAAATCAATACTGATTTCAAGGGACTGTAAAATTCAGATAACTGATATCAGCAGCTATAAACATCTATTTAGATTTTATATTTAAATTTTTTATCCTGATAATTTTAGTCAAAAAGTGCTTTGCTGACTGATGTGACCGTCTGCTCTCAATTAACATACTTCCTTACCTCAAATAAAGAGCAGAAACTCACGTTCTAAAATAAAATAAATGTTAGTACTGGGGGTGGAGCTACCTATAGCTGTTTGTTGCGGTTTTAGATTTAGTTCATTTTTTTGTATTTTTCATCATTTCACAAGTTAGTTTGTGTTGTAACATGTTATTACATGGTAATGTGGGATGTTAAGGATTAACCACTTAACCATTAACCAGCAAATACATAAATGTCCTTCCAATACTTCTGGTTAAAATTTTATTAATATCTGATAAACAGTTGATATTTGAATAGACAGGCTTTTCATTCAAGTTGAGGACCATTTTTTTAATTTTAAGAAAATGTATTTCTACCTACTTAATGAAGGTTGATATTTCTCAGCAAAATAACTAGGATATTTAGCAGTCATTTGAAAAAAAGGAAAAAAGCTTCAAGCTACCAACTTTGTTGACTGTTGTTTAAACTATGCATATTAACTTCAGGCTAGCTCTGGTCTGGCCATTTATGTTCATTAACCTTGGCTAATAATATGTGCTAAGGCCTTGTTTTTAATATGTTAATAATATTATAAGAGTAAGTAAACAGACTGCATTATATTACTGCCATATCATGCATTAGGCTGTCATTCAGTAATGGCTAAGGCCTTGTTTTTATATATATATATATATATATATATATATATATATATATATATATATATATATATATATATATATATATATGTGTGTGTAGTAGTGCTATGTTTGATGTTTCATGGGTCGTATCTGTGATTTTACATTTGTCGTTTAGTGATTGAGGACATTATTGTTAGATTATCGGTAAAAATTCTCATCCCTAATGCAAATGGTGAGAATTGGATGCATTTTACGTTTTTATTTTAGCCATGATGGTATTTAGTGTTCAAATTCACCAGTTCAGCCTGAATTGCTGTGATGTAATTGAACAGGTGACTCATATTGGGTTGCCGGGTGGCCCAACCACGTTTTGCATCATCCAGAGGTCATGGGTTGGAATCCCCACTATGATGTGAATAAAGACGTTTCTTATTATTGCTAATTACCGATACAGATAAAACCATCATCTGTATCGGCCAATGTTATCAGCCAACCAGTATATCATTTGGGCCCTAGTAGTTAGTCAGCTTGGTTATTTGAGTAGACAGGTTTTAGTCATCTCGTCAGTATTCATTATTTAAATAAGGCATACTTAGCTTGAAATGAAATGAAATAAATGGTGTACTATCTTGCAAATTGTTAAATAAATGTTTGACTAAGTTTAGTGTAGGCATACATCATGTGAAGCGAAATCTACACAGAACTAGGCTGTATGGAAGTTTACACAGTTTAGGCTGTTATTCTTTAGGCTGGTAGCATGTTAAATCTCACACGCCTAAAACAAGATATATAAATCACTAAATCAACAGAACAACCAGTTACAGATCTCCTCTAATGTTAGCATGGACCTTCCATGTTTAAATTTCTTTTATTCATATCAATATAAGTCATTTTCTCATTGGGATATTCAAATACTGCTTGTGGAAAAATGCAGATGTTCATATAGAAAAAGTGGTTAAAATTCCCTTCATTATGACAAACCTGTGGCCTGTTCAGTGCACTGAGATGTACTACGAAAGGTCATGGCTGCTAATAAAAGTGGTCCATCTTTAATTCCCTGATTATCCTGCGGCTGATCACACAAGAAGCTCTGAGCCACAACAGTATTGTTCTGTATATTATTATTTCTGGGAGCTTTCAGAGGAAAAACAGTACCGCAGTTTTAATATCAGCCTAAATTGCGCTGTTTTCATTGTTTTCCGTAAAACTAGTCAAGTATGTTTGAGTCAGTTGCTCCGGTTGCTGAGGTTTCCGATCAGCCGTGCAGGCCGCTGGCACAGCTTCTTATGATTATGGCAAACCAGCTCGGTCCATATGCTGGCCAATAGACGCAGGCAGGATAGCTTCAGGTTACAGTTTTAACAAACAGCCTCGTGGCTGTATGTCTGATTTTATGTATGCTTATCTATTAATGGATTAACTGTGACTAAAGCAGCTAAAGCACAATGGTGTTCAGTTCTAGGAGGATGAGGTGGGTATTTATTCACTGGATTGTGAAATACACTCTGTGTCAACGTAATTATGTCAGCTAAATAGTCTCCATAATGTTGCTTAATGACTCAGACTGAAAGCTAATAAGAGTTAGTGTTTTAGTAGGAGTGGATTGAAATGAACTTGAATGCTTTAATGGATTTATACATTGCTGATGGTTATATAGGTGATTATGATGTCCTTTAAGGGCTCAGAATATTTTCTCTTTTCACTTATGACATTCTTTGCATTTTTGTTTATTGTTTGCTTATTATCCCTTAGAATTAAATACGCTGTGTTTGTTATTGTGCCTTTAACAATGATGTATGTATGTGAAGGTGCTCTGTTCTGAGGGGGGTGTGAAAGCAGTCTGGGCTGAAACACTTCTTTTTACGTTGATGTGAATGGGGCGGAGCTAAACCGCTGTAGGCTTAATAGGTGGATATATGTAAATGTGTTGGTTTTCATGATATCACAGAAACAATGAATTCAAAACAGGCTGCTACGGTATGTTTTGGAACTTAAGCGATGTTTATATGCCTGATCACACTGTTTTACAAAAACATAAGGAAAATTCAGTTTTTCACAATATGGGCCCTGTTGTAGCAAGAGCATCCTGAAGGTCTGCACAGTTTGATTATTAAAGCTAAAAGGGTCCATATCATACATTTTTCTTGCATTTTTAATGCATTTATTTTCCCTGAGGTCCACTTATGACATTTGTCTGGCTTTATTAACAAAAAAAATGATAATAATTCATTTTTATATGACCCTTTTCCAACCTTAGAATTAACCACTCTTTTGTTGTTACTCTGCCTTTAAAATTGATGTATGTAAATGATGTCTTTTTTGATTGGCTGTCCCGTATGGCAATTAATTTTGAATGACAATACATGACAGTACTGGGCACTCATTATAGACTCGTTATAACTTGAGTAGGCGAAAGCTGAACTACTGCAGACAGGGCGGATAGTCATATGAAAAATTTTGGGCGCCCTTGTCAAATAGCATGTTTTGTTGATTTTCTAAGTGAAAATAAGTAAATACAGATGTACATATTAGTAAAAAAAACAAAACTAAGCATAATATGTGGCCTATTCAAACGTTTTGGCACATTTTAGATTTTTTGTTTTATTATTTCCAATATGTTAAACTCAGCAAATGAATAAAAAATGTGCACAAAAATTAAATTGTGCACTAAAATTAAAATAAGAAAAACGCTTTAGTTTGCTTAATCTTAAAAATGCTTAAGAAGTTTGCTTAAGTTAAATACTCAATATTTATGTTTGTTACCTGTAAATAAAAATGAACAAAATGTGTCATTTGACCTCGGTTTGTTGGCTTTTATGACATCACAAAACAATAAATTCAGAAATGCAGCTTAGTTTATGTTGAAACCTTAACAGTATTTACATATTATATTAAACTCTTTTATGTAAACAATATGAGGAAAAATGTTTTTTACATGATATCTGCCCTGTAATAACCCAGTGAGTCACAGCCAGTAGCCTAACACACAACAGTATTCAGCCATGAGGTTTGGCCATGCTTCTGGACATTGTAGTTGAGTATTTTGGTTTGAACATTGTAATTTCTGTCGAGACCAAATAGTCGTTTTTATTTCCATTTCTTTCCCTTTGAAATCTTTCTGTATATTTTTATCACTTGGTCCATTAAGCCTTGTGCTTTTGTGACCTCGAGACCTCAAACACAGTAAAGGGTTAGGTTTTCACATCACTGCACATCCAGCGCAAAGAGACATGGGGCCAACACAAAACCCAATTAGGCTGTGTGTCAGCATTTTTGAATTTATTTACTGACTAAAATGTGCTGCTCTGCTTAAAGCATCTGAACATCTGGACCTTCAAGTTTCCAGTGCATTACAACAGTGTCATTATACTGACATAGAAGTGCACAAAATAAGATGTTTTGTATGTCCTGGAGGAGCACATAGTTAAATAAACCTAAATATACATCAGTATCACATAACACCATTCAAACTAGAACAGACTGTAAGTTGGCTTGGCAAAGCCATTGCTATGAGATCTCAGGTGATTGCTGTGGTGTTGCTGTGTTATCCCAGGTGGTTGCTAAGACGTTGCCAGGTTTCTAACCCACGCTTGGCATTGGGCATGATGAGCTCATGTCCTTAGGCTCATGTGCGGCTGTTCCAGAGCGTCCCGTTCTACTGGCAGGTGCTTTTCTATGATTATACAAGTCGTGCGTGCACAGTTGAACACCTGTATCAGCAGTGTGTGCGCCTTAAAGGGCCCATATTATGGAAAATTGAATTTTCTCCAGTTTTTCAAATAAAAGTTTTTTCATCTAGTGTGTAAACATTGTTGAGCTTTTACGAGACTGCAGTCCACGATCCGTAAATGGAAGCCGAACTGCAAAACCTTCACTTTTTCACGTCATTGTGTTCGTGATGTCACGGAAGCCATGTAAATGTGTCCACCTACTCAGCCTACAGCAGTTTAGCCCTGTCCACTCATGCTGAAGTGTTTCTGCCCGGACTGCTTTTTGAATGAGGCACAAAACAAGGCGATCACAGCAGAGGTCATTTACATATATCCACCTTAAAGTGACAGTAATAATCACAGTAATACTAAAGTGATAGTAGCTGTTTAATTCTAAGGCTTAAAGAGTTAGAAAATGTTATTTTAAAAATGAATTATGTCTTTTTTTGCTAGGTAAAAGGAGACAAAATGTAAAAGTGGACCACAGGGAATGAATGAATGAATGAATGAATGGACAAGGAAAATGTATCCTACCGTTACCTACATTTTCTGATTAGAAGGGATGTGTGCATACTTTTGTACTTATAATGCATGTATTGGTGATGGGGGAAGAAAAAAGTGATTTAAATCATGCCTGCTTTCTTTCAGGTCCATGTCCATTGCGGCGAGTTTAGTGGGCGAAGACGCAAAGACCAAGTTTCTGAGTAAGATGGGTCAGCTGACCACCTCAGGTGCCATGCTGGCCAACGTTTTCCAGAGAAAGAAGTGAATGAGTGCTGCTGGGGAAGTTTCCCATGACCCTCTGCTGTCTGGGGCCTCCTACTTGAAGTCAATCGTCTGCCTTTATTTTGATTATTTCATTCGTCTTTACTTTTTTGATAGGCTCTGTTTTATATCTTATTTATGTCTTAAATGTTTATTCTGACTTCCAAAGAAAATGCACTTTTTTTTGTTCTGTTTTGAAAATTCAGTTTTATTTCAGAGTCTTATTTACATCACTACAAAACTTTCGCTTTGTTTTCTTTTGGAAATGTGAAATTTATGAGGAAACAAAAAATGAACTTTAATGATTCCTTCCTTGTCTTGCCCTCTTCATGTGTTGCAGTGTCTCTGGAAGCTGTTTTCTATAATTGTGTGTAATTTACTCTGGATTTTGTTTTTGTTTTCTTTTTGGATATGCTGACACAGTAAATAACTGTACAATACACTGAGATAGAACATACCTGTATCATGTATATTGGAAATTGGTGTCATAATAAAAAAGGTGAAGAACAGGTGTTCTTATAAATATGCGCTTTGTTTGTTTTGTTGTCTCCTAGTGGCTCTTATCATTGTCTCCTGAGTCAAGTCTTTAGCAGCAGATTGGGTTGGTTGTTAAAATGTTTAAGAGCAACACTTTGATGCGTACTCTGGTTCCAGGTATAATATCAGCAGACAGGTGCTACTGCAATAAAAGTTTGGTTTGGCAGACAAACAGTAAAGCCTGCGGTTAGCTTTAACTTCAGAGGACCTTGTCTTTCTGCAGCACGACAAACGTTCAGAAGAGCTGATCAGTGAACTCTTGGTCAGTCCGCCAAGTGAACACTTTCCAATCCTTTGTGTCTCGGTCAATAATTGACTTGTAAGGTGTAGCTCCAGGAGAACAAAATTTGCATGTTGTGTTTAATCGTTAACATTTACGGCTGATTAGCCACCCCATGTAAATATCATTTCATTCTTTCACCCGATGCACGAGGGTAACAGATAATGTTGTGATAGAAAAATTTGCATAAAATAAATATTGTGTTCTTTCGCAGTAATGGGTGCAGCCAGACTTGTTAAAGCTTACTATAATATCACAGCCTAATATAGTGATGTGCTTTCTTTATATATATACAGAAGACTTTCTTTTAGTTTTTCCAAGAAATCTGCAGGGATTTTTTTCCCACATTTCCAAAGTTCAGTCAGGCTTCTCATGATCCAAGTAATCTCAAACACATTCAGAGATTTTGTCTGCAGTCCACCATTCTGACACCAGCAGCTTCTTTGTTTGGTAATATGTAGCAATCTTCTCAGCAGTGTGCTTAGGGTTATTATCTTACTGCCAAATGAACTTCTTATTTTTCCAGAGGGTATTGCATGATGTCCTAAAATTTGTTGGCACACTCATGATGCATTCAATCAAAAACAAATCACCAATGCCACGTTATACATCTCCATCTTGTTTAACTGATGGTTGTAATCATGGTTTGTAGAGCCTTGCACTGCTTCTGTGGAGAACTTACTGCCTTCTGCTGCTTTCAAAGATCTCAAATTTAGACTCACCAGTCAATAAAACCTTCATCCACTTCGTTTGGTGGTCTGCCGGGTCTTGCATGGTTGTTATGAGTCCCATTGTCTCTGTAGCTTTTAAGAATTTTTTTTAACTCCTTTTTTTCTGCTTATTTTCCTTCAACTTTCCCTTCCTTATGCATGTGTGTTGTTGTATCTAACCTCCTTGGAAATGTTTCCTAAAAAAAATAATATTTTAGACTTATTGGCCATTTTACTGCATATGAAATAAGTGAATGGTGGTCTCTGACTTTTGCACAGTACTGTATATTTAATATAATTCTTTAGACCTTTCTAAAACACTGTTCACCCACAGTGATGGGTGCGGCCAGACTCGTTAAAGCTTACCAGTAAATCACAGATATAGTGATGTGCCTTCTATATGCAGTAGTAAAGTGTGCGGAGGTGTAGTAAGTAGGGATGTCTTAGTCATGAGCAAGAATCGGAAGAGGACAGTGAGTCAGAAGTCAGGAGCATTTCCAAAGCAAGCAGGCGAGGGAGAAAAAGAGTGCATGTGCCCAAACCTCCGGAACATTTAGCCTCTCCATGTTTTCATTTCTTTTTCCTTGTTTACTATGTCTATATTAAGGCTGCAAACAGGAGAAGCTTTATGTTCTGGCCAATGAGTGTCCACTTTTACGGCAAATCGTGCCGATTTACCTTCGGGGCCTGGACTGTACCTGCTTTTTTCGCATGCTTCACTGCCTCACATATTTCGATGACAGCAAATTGAAAAACAGGCACTAGAAGTGGGTGGAACTAATGTCCCAACATGACAAAGTTGTTCTTTTTTTATGTCATGATGGTCTGAACTGGTTCAGGCATAGCACGCTGTCATTTCAAAACCAGCCTTCGCATGAGACTCACTGAGTCAGAATTGAACTACACAACACACTGAGTGTGTATCACACAATGCCATACATAAACTGTATAATACACTTATGTGTAATACACCCATTGCATTATACAGTTAATTAATGGCACTGTGTGATGCAGTGTATAATACATATCACACTCACAGGGCCAGTTTCCTGGACATGTCTTGGCCCGAATTGCACCATTACCATTAGGTATTTTAGGTTAAATTTAAGGTCAATCTTAGCCTGAAAAACTGGCCCTAAACTGTGCCGTCAAGTTAATTCTGACTCCTGGCAACCATATGGATAGTGTTTCTCTAGAATATCCTGTCTCCTGTTTGGGTCTCTAGGTTTCTAAGCAGCCAGTTCATGATTCCTCTGATTGTAGCCATCTATCTTGTAGCTGGTCATCCTCTTCTGCTTTTGCCTTCAACTCTTCCAAGCACAAAGGCCTTTTACAATGAATTGGTTCTTTTCAAAATATGTCCAAAATAAGCTTCAGTTTGGTTATCTGGGCTTTGAGTTGGAGGTGAGGCTTGATTTGGTTTAGGACCCATTTGTTTTCTTTGCCATACAAGGTACTCTCAAAAGTCTTTGCCAAAAACAAAGTTCAAAGGCATCAGCATTTTTCCTGTCTCACTTGTTTATCGTCCAGCTTTCACATCCATAAAGAACTGCAGAAAAGTCTGATCTTTGTTTGGAGCTTATTACATTTAAAGATCTTTTCAAGCTCATTCATCCTTGTTTTGCTGAGCGCCGATCTGAGTCATATTTCTTGAGTGCTGGACCCTCTGTTGTGAGTAACTGATCCAGCTAGGCTGTCCACCATTTCCACATCTTCTTCATCAGTGGTAAATTTAGCAGTCTTTCCTGTTGTTATAACCGTAGTCTTCTTCAAATTGAGCTGAAGTCCTATCTTTTCATTTTCTTTAACATTCCTTTTAAGGGCTTTCAGGCCTTCCAGATTTTCCCATGTGAGTGTTGTGTCTTCCGCATATAGTAGGTGGTTAATGTTTCTTCCACCAATCCTGAATCTTCAGTCATCTTTCTCCAGTCCTGCCCCTCTCGTTATATGTTCTGCATATACACTCACCTAGCACTTTATTAGGAACACCTGTACACCTATCTTTCTCCAATCAACCAATCCAATAAGTACGCCTCTTCGTATCTACACTCATTGTCCATTTTATCAGCTCAACTTACCGTATAGGTGCACTTTGTAGTTCTACAATTACAGACTGTAGTCCATCTATTTCTCTGCATACTTGTTAGCCCCCTTTTCCCCTGTTCTTCTGTGGTCAGGACCACCACAGTGTAGGTTTTTTTTTTGGTGGTGGATCATTCTCAGCACTGCAGTGACACTGATGCAATGGTGGCGTGTTAGTGTGTGTTGTGCTGGTTCGAGTGGATCATACATACGTTTTTAACCACTGTGTCCACTCACTGTCCACTCTGTTAGACACACCTACTTTGTTGTCCCTTGTAGATGTGAAGTCAGAGACAGTTGCTCATCTGTTGCTGCACAGTTTGTAGTAGTCATCCTCTAGCCCTTCTTCAGTGGTCACAGGACGCTGCCCACAGGACGCTGTTGGCTGGATATTTTTGGTTGGTGGACTATTCTCAGTCCAGCAGTGACGCTGAGGTGTTTAAAAACTCCAGCAGCACTGCTGTGTCTGATCCACTCAGACCAGCACAACACACAGTAACACACCACCATCACTTCAGTGTTATTGTAAGTGCTGAGAATGATCCACCACCCAAATAATACCTGCTCTGTGGGGCTCCTGACCATTGAAGAACAGGGTAAAAGAGGGCTAACAAAGTATACAGAGAAACAGATGGACTACAGTCTGTAGTTGTAGAACTACAAAGTGGAGATGTTAAAATGGTCAAAGAAGGTAGATACAAGGAGGTGTACTTAATGAAATAGCCAGTCATAAATAAATATGATGCCATAAATAAACTGTATAATACACTAAGAAAGTACACAGTGTGTGCATCACGCTTACAGTGCCATAAATGACCTTCCAAAACAATGAACTGCTGTCAGTCACATAAAATTGCTCCATACTGTTTAATCATTTAGTACTATAGGCAACATTCTTTTGAACATTCTCATCATGGAAAAGTCAGACAGACCTCTTGCATCTTTCCCCAGTACTTTGCAGCAGGCCTCTCAAATTTCATCAGTAAATCACGGTTGACCCCAGCCGTAGCAGGAAGGTAGGCTGAGCATATTTAAAATCACCAGGGGCCACTTTTTCCAAATGTTATCCCATCTAGTTTTTTGGACCACAGATTGGCTACAGTCCCTGAAATACCCAGACAGGATGATTCAGACCAAGTCAAGAGCCAAAATCAGATGGGATACAGCCAGTGGCTTTTGTAGCACCTCCCCGTTAACATTTGCATGCAGGATTGTGCAATCCGTTCTCAGTAAGTGGACGGATAGAAAGAGAAAGGCATGCAGTAGAGGTGGGGGAGGGGGGTGGAAGCCAAGTCAGCTTTTCAAGCCCCTCAAATGACGGTTATTCAAATCAGGCAATAACAGCTTTGCCAGAGGTGCAGTGAGCATGAAAGGGGGCAGCTTGGGACATGAAGGACATGGGAGAGAAAGAAAAGAGAGAGAGAGAGAGAGAGAGAGAAGGAAAGAGGGAAGGCGGAAGCACCTGGCTCAGATTCAAACCCTCTCCACCTGGGTGTCACCTCTGTCTGCCCCACCCACCCTGTCAGTGAACAAATGGTGTCACTTCAAAGCAACAGTTTGGGCTAAAAATCAGATTTACACAATATTTCCACCTTAGCTTAAATAGTTCTTGCCAATACTTGTCCGAATATGGCGGTTGTAAGAAAACACTAATTGCAGCTGTCTTGAAGCCTGAATTTTGTGCATACTTTTGCTTTTATATTTTCATAATTTGTTTTTTGTAGATACAGTAGATGCAACAGTTTGAAGAACCCCAGTGAAATGACATTATAATGATCGAAAATAAGGTAACATAGAGTAAACATATGACATTTTACTGCAAATTTTAGTGCACAATTTCTATTCATTTGCAAATTTAACATATTGGCGGGGAAAAAAAAGAAAATATAACATGTGCCATAATTTTTGCACAGGCC